ACCTGACAACTTTAAAAAAAAAAATTGGTGTGTCAGGTGCCGGGCTGACATAGATTTATACAGATCCAATGTCAGAACCGTAGTTGTCTGACCTTTTTTTTTTTCGTCTATATTCTGATCAATTAGCCCTCAGACGCGGACATATATGCGTTCGTTCATTTCTTCTCTGTTTCTCACGCAATATATATATATATATATACACACTACAAGTATATTCTACTAGTATTATGATTTGACCAATTAAACGGGGGAAGGGCGCCGGCAATAGCCGTCTCCTGGAGCTGAAATTCAAACCAAGCAAACACGCCATTTAAAGATGGCCCTAATTTCTTCCATCCCCATATATGAATCTGATACGTTCTTCTTCCTCTCATTCCTTCCTCCTCCAAAATCTCCAACTCCGGAACCCTCTCTCCCTCATTTGTACTGCTACTATACTACTAGCTTCATAATTAGCACTGCTAGTATTCCTTTATAATACTATACTGCTACTGCTATTAGTGGTTTATTATCCTGTTCTCATCATCATCAAATCATCTTCCGGATGATGATGCCTTTTCCCTGTCGCTCCCGCACCATCATTTCTCCATCGTTTGGCAGATGAGGAGTTTGCCCTCTTCCTCCGTCGCTCTCACCCTTCTTTACTTTCTCCATTTTAGCTCGTCTTTAATTTCCCGGCAATAACAACCCAACCCCCCCTTTTTTTTTCCTCTTCTTTTTCTTCTTCTCCTTCGTAATTATCGTTAGGCACAAATCATACGCGTCATCAACCATGTTTTTTCTAAATCCAATTTTATTCTTGTTGATAATCGTAGTCCCCTTTTTAATCTTTAGATTCTTGTCCAGAACATCCATTCTGCATATCGCGAACAATTGGTGGCGGACTTTAGCTGACAAATTTTACGTGTACCAGTTGTACAGAGTTCCCCAATTCAACGACCACATGCAGGAAAATCAACTCTACCGAAAAGTTCACACCTACCTCAGTTCTCTCCCGGCCGTCGAGGACTCCGACTTCACCAACCTCTTCTCCGGTGCCAAACCCAACGAGATCAACCTCGTCCTCGACCCCAACCAGATCGTCCTCGACAATTTCCTCGGCGCTCGATTGTTCTGGATTAACCAGAAATGCGACGGGTCTGGGTTGAAATCGCTGGTTCTCAAGATCAGGAAGTCCGACAAGCGCAGAATTCTGCGCCCCTACCTCCAGCATATCCATACGGTCTTCGAGGAACTCGAACAGCGAAAGGATGTCAAACTTTACATCAACGTCGAGGACGAGCCGCAGAGAAACGGACGGTGGAGGTCGGTTCCCTTCACGCATCCGGCGACGATTGACTCGGTCGTGATGGACTCGGACTTGAAGAACAAAGTCAAGTCGGATTTAGAATCCTTCCTCAAGTCCAAACAGTATTATAACCGATTAGGCCGGGTTTGGAAGCGGAGTTATCTCCTCTACGGGCCCTCCGGTACCGGGAAGTCCACATTCATCGCTGCGATGGCCAAGTTCCTCTCCTACGACGTCTACGACGTCGACCTGTCCAAAATATCGGGCGACTCTGATTTGAGGTCGCTGCTGCTGCAAACGACGAGCAAGTCGCTAATCGTGATGGAAGATCTGGAGCGCCATCTGACGGGGAAATCAACGGCGGTGAGCTTGTCCGGGATCCTCAACTTCATGGACGGCATAGTCTCGTGCTGCGGCGAGGAGCGCGTGATGGTATTCACAATGAACGGCAAGGATCACGTTGATCCCGCGATTCTGAGGCCCGGGAGGATAGATGTTCACCTGGAGTTCCCTCTCTGCGATTTCAACGCCTTCAAAAGTTTGGCCAACAGCCATTTGGGTGTGAAGGAGCACAAGCTTTTCCCTCAGGTGGAAGAGATGTTCCAAAGCGGGGCGAGTTTGAGTCCGGCCGAAATTGGCGAGCTTATGATTGCCAACCGGGCCTCTCCCAGCCGGGCCTTGAAATCCGTAATATCCGCGCTGCAGAATAACGCGGACACCAAGTTAGCTGGCAGGGTGTCGCGCAACGGGTCGGTTCGGTCAGCGGAGGAATCCGGCGACTCGGGAATATTGTGTAAAGACGCCGGTGTTTCCACCGTCAAGGAGTTTCGGAAATTATATGGATTCTTGAGGAGGAGTCGAAGGGAATCCGCAGATTTGGATGACAAGGAAAGGGAAATTGGTCGACAAGAAAGTTGAGTCGTGCCCACCCGTCCACCAATCAAACTACACCAAATCAGAAAACCCCGTTTAAAGTTTCAGAAGAGTAGTCTGTCTTTCTCTCGCTGTTGTGCTCAATAGTCCAGTAAAGATATTTTTGGCTTTTTCTCTCCCCTTTTCCTATCTTCCTTCCATAGTATAGTTAGCATTTGGGGGAAAAAATACTACTGCTGTAGTATATTTAATTAGCACAGCGTTAATGTTTAGCGGGAAAACTTCCACAGGATACTACAGTAACGATTGTTGTAGCAGTACAGATAGATCCATTTTTAAGTAGCATAGCATTACATTAATTATTATTTGTTTGCTGGGATCTTCTTCCCAAGAACAACATAGCAGAAAATTTTCCTTTCGTCCATGTCAGGTGTCTAACGATCTAATGATGTACTAGCAGTTACCCAAACAAAGTGCGGGGGCGGTCCTAGTCAGAAAATAAATGTTAGCGACAAAAGGAGGTTTTGGTTTCAACGCCTTTAGAAGAAGGAAGGAGGGGGCTGGCAATGGCCTGTTGAAATTGGGATGCCCTCTGAAAATGGTCATTGACTTTGGACGTCCGTTGGTTGCATTTTATGTCTGATTTTGACTTTTTTGCAAAATGGCGCCGAGATTGCCTACCGTTTTCATATCATATCAATTAATCAATCAATAAAGGCATAAAAAAGGATGACTTTTTTTTTTTTGGGGGCTACCTAGTAGATAACACGACGCCTCACAAGATTCAAAGGTTACCCTTATTATTCCTTTCTACTGGATTGGTTTGGTTTGGTTTGGTTACGCTATATCTCCAAAGCGAGTGGTGGGTTCGTGAATAATACATGACGCAGCGTATATGTGCTGTCGAAAGAAGATGGATATGTCCATTCCATATGTGATATCGAATCATATCACTACTGCTTCGATAGGGTTTGGATGTGGAATGTTGCTAAATTGGTCTAGAAAATGAAAATTTAGTAGTAGAAGTAGTAGTATCAAAGCTAATCCATTCGCATATGACGACATGGAATTCATTTCGCAGCGTTGAGAATGAGAATGGCATTCAAATTGGGAATCAGGCGATCGTCATAGCTGAATGTGAATGTTCTCCGTGTATGGACTAAGTATAGTATATCCTTCTTTCTTTCTTTCTTATGATGGAGAGATGACGATAATACGCGGATTTACAATTGGTCTCCAACAACTCTCCTTAGTATACTATCCAGGTCCATATATTCTTCTCTTAATCTAGTAGCCATGCCATGCCCCCTTTGGATAATTGCTCTACTGTTTTGCAAAATCTTTTTGTGGCCATTTTCACAAAATTAGTTCTGACTTGACATAAAAAGAGGTGCTTGATTTAATTCTCTGCAAATATATTTTGTGATCTAATGGCAGGTATAATGAACACTAATGCAAAATTTTACTCGTGTCACAAAGTACGAAAGTCCGCATGAGATCATTGCAGGAATGAACGCATGCATATTCAGGAAATTTTCATCTACGAGGATTGGATTGTCGTCTAATCAGTTACTTTCGCTAATCTTAAAATTTGGTGGTACTAGTGTACAGAGTGAATCGATCAATTTGGATTGTCATCTAATCGGGGACGGTGAGGTCGTTCCTCTGCCGCTACAGCTCCGTCGTCATCGCAAACTCTCTTGGTAATTTTAGGGCTTACACCTGCGCTGCCTCCTCCTCCTTCTTTTCACATAGCGCCAAACGAGTGGGTACTCAACAGTGGCAGCTTTCATTGCGACGAAGCTCTCGGCTGCTTTATGATTCGCCTCTCCAACAGCTTCTCCAATGCCCAAATCATCCGTACCCGCGATTCCCAGGCACTTTTGAAAATAATTTTGTTATGACTGCCCGGACCTTTTTCCCCCCCTTTTCTTGCTGTTAAAGTGACTAATTAGGAAAAAACAACCTATTCATTCGAGGTTCTGGAAGGGCTTGTTGCTGTACTTGATGTTGGAGGATTCTATGACCCCAAGCATTATAGACCGTTACGACCGTCACCAGGAAGGTTTTAACGAGGTTTTGGCTATGGACACTCCACTGAACTTAGCAGTGCCGGCCTCGTCTGCAAGGTAGCTTTTACTTGCCCATAAATCTCTCGGTGCTCTGTATTTTTTTTTTTCCATAGCCCTGGATCCGGTGCCTGTTTTTTAGTAGTAGCAGCAGTAGCGGGTTTAGTCTAGCAGCAGAGTTGTTGGCGCGTGAAATTTACAGTTATTCAGATTACTTTGTTAGATAAATAAGTTTATCAATCTGCGGTTATCCTTTTCTGTTCCTGATTTTTCACTTCCAGCATTATGGGAAGGAGATAGTTGCCAAGGAGGTTCAGCTAGATGAGGGACATCCAGATGTACACCTGTTATTTTTGACAGTTTATAACTTCATGGAGGTAACAATCCAACCGTGTATTGTAAGCCTTGTCCTGAATGGTTCATGGACTTAGTACTGTTTTACCGGTCCAATAATATTTTTGACTGAGCAAATGAAACCTTTGAATCCTATCTTCTTTCTGGTTTTCCCTGTCCTTTTCCCAAGGAGTTGCTTCTTTAGTTTTATTATTGCTATAGATTAGACAAGGGAAGCTAGCTGATTGACTGGAATGGCAGTATAGAAAGGTATTGCTCTTGCTTCTTGACATGGCCCGTGTATGTTCTGTCATTAGTCAGATGCTTATCAACTTGCACCAAATTTTTTGCTTTAATTGGCTGTAGATGCTACTGACAATGGAATAAATCAATGCAATACAGGCCAGCCTCCTAGGTTTGTGAACAACACAAGCTTGTGCTCCAGAGTTGGAAGATTGAATCTAGATTGGACTCATTTTGATCAATCACCCGAGCATGAAAATAATGCCTTTCAACAAGCAATGGAGCTAGCGGGGAAGGAATTTTTGGAGGAGACTTCCCCTTGAACTCTCACTATTCTGAGTTGGGTTTGTCTTCCACTCGACAATATTTTTGAAGTTAGTACTAGGCTGATTGGAAACTTTTGTTTTCCTATCATCCTGCACAACTTCAGACGTTCAACTCATAGCTTAAGCATGACAAGATTGTTAAAGGAACAAATTTTTTTTTTTAAACTTTTCATATCGGAGTGCTCATTTCTATGCAAAATCATGGTTGCAAGTTCGATCCGTAGTTATGGAATGTCTAGCAGAAAGAGAGAGCTGTAGATCCAACTGGGGAAGTCATTGTGCAAAATAGATCTTTTCCTGTAAGTGGAAACTGGTTGTCTCAATCATGTCCTTTTTTTTTTTTTTTTGTCAGCAACGATATATTTTTTTGTCTCAATCATGTCCTTGATGACCTTATTTAGCTTTTTGATTCTGTCATCCTTCACCTCTTTCAATTGTTTGCCTATTGGTCTGTGATCATTCCTTTCCTTCTTTAACAATCAATAAACCCAATGGTCATGACAACCCATAATGACAGTTATTAGCATTTCAGCAGTGGAAGCTTCACATTTTTGACCTGGAGAGGGAACATTGATACTTCGATTATGTATGTTATTTATCAGGTACCATCATGTTCATCACCCTACATTATTCTTTTTGAAAAGCATGTTAATAGGTTTATTCTCTTGCAGTCCACTCAAAGAAGGAAAACAATATTCTTTTATATCAGCATGTGCATAGAAGGAAAACAAGTTCAATGTCGTCTATTAATGAGAGATATTCTCTTGATAAATATTCTTGCATTACTTGCTTTTCTTGCCTCAAAGAAGCAATAGGAATAGCGACCTCATCAAGGTCAAGTAATTTATGCTTGGCTAAGTGCAATGTTTTCATTTTGTTAGGTCAAAATGTGTGCAACAGATAGCTGGTGAATCATCTTTTCTTGGAAAAGAATATCATTAGTTGCAAAAAATTTCACGGTTTTATTGTTCTGTAGGATGATAGGAGTGAGAACTGGCATATTCAGGAAGTGGCAGTCTCACCTGAAAATTTTGAAAGCCGGAAACCCCGACCATCTCTCTGGAGGGGTCTCAATGATGGAGAGCTTTGCGAAGCTACTCATATCCCTGGTTGTACTTCTGTGCATGAGTGGATTCATTGGAGGAAATGAAACTTATGAATGTGTTCTTGCTATGGCAAGGGCTTCTTTGATGGCTTAAGCAACAAACAAGGTAATGAAGAACTTTCTTTGAATAAGATGCATGTGCAGTTCGAATATGCTGACTCAAGTACCATTGTTTTATCATCCTCAAATCCTTAATTTCTTGAAACTCATTTCTGTACAACTATCATCGCAGGTAAAGAAACACACATTATTAGATACTATTATGTTAAGGTTAAAATTGAGTCCATTGGGAACAAAATTTGTGGCTCAACCTGAATCTTCAGAAGCTGCAGGCAATCCTTCTTTAAACCAGGTATTTAGTCCTCCTTCCAAGTGGTAGACATTGCTGTAACCATTGAGAACTAGCAAGTAAGCTGCTATCAGTGACCTACATAAAGTAACAAAAGCAGGTAATGAATCTTCTCCCTTGTACAGTGTGCAGACAGTGTAATGAACTTTTTAACACTTTGCATTATGTAGCACTGTCTTCACACACGTTAATTTATATATATATATATATATTTTTTTTTTCCACTAGTTATATTTGGCACATCACTATGACTCCGGATTTTTGAACATAGAAATGTAATACCTTGATTGTTGCCCTTCCGGAAGACTTTGTGATGGCTTCATTGTACCACCAGATGAGCAAGCTACTATTATCTTCGCTTTCTTATCTATTTTCGATTCCACACCTGCTCTCAAGTATTAAAAAATTAGTTCTCAATTTACATCAGAGCTTTTTCCATAAGCCTTAAGTTGATTGATTTATGCTAAGAGCCATACTTTGCATAAAGTCTGGATTTTCTTCTGTTCCTTGGAAGATGCCGAAAAATGCAAATGCTGCCCTCCGGGCAATGTCCCATGGTGTCCACTCCTTTATGAGCCTATAAATTTGAACATTAATAGCTCCTGGCGGATGAGCCTATGCCAGGAAATGATCATTTAGTAAAGCTTTTACAAAACAGGCATGGACATTTGAAATTATAGTTGGTTTGCCTAACCATGGGCAAGGCAGATGATCTATATGCTACACTAGTGTGAGAGAAGATCTTGCATAATTTGGTCAGTGCATCTTTTTTAGCAAAAATGATCCATGTGTCTTAGGTCTGAAGTATCCTGTCTTGAAAAGTGTTTTAATACTTAAAAGTACTTATCGATCTATTGGTACTTGCATTTTGCGTGTCTTGGTGTGCACATTAAAAATTTGGGTTGCTGCTGATGACTTCTTTCTGACTTCAAATCAAGAGTCATAATTCTGTTTCTATGGCAGAAGAAGGACATTTACCTCTTTAAACTCTGCTTCTGGACGTACATCAAGAATCACAAAGTTATTTTCTTTCTGAAGTCGCAAAGCTTCGTTCACCTCGACACTCCTTACCTACATAATCTGGCATGGTTAGGCCTTGTATGAAGTAATTTGTAATTTTATCACAATTTGCCATACATAAGCTAAGTTTTCATTTTGAATCAATTAAAAAAAAATGATTCGGATCCATAGAAACCTCACTTCTGCTTCACATGTGGTTATTATCTTCTGGATGACCAAAAGGTTTCTACGGTTAAATAGATGGACATGGCATTGGAAGTAACTATTAAACAGCCACTGCTGTGTTAAAAAAGTTTTGATGAATGTTAAAACTTGTGTGATATCTGAAGCATCCAAAACTCCGTATGCACTTGCGAAAAAATGTGGTTCTAAAATTTATGATGGAGACAACCTGTAAACTGAGAGACTATGCACCCTATATGAAGTAATTGCATTCTTTAGCCGTGTCCACAATGTGCATGCCTGCTTGTGTCAGTATGGTTTGTCGTATAGTGAATCAGATATTACCTTCTTCTCAAGCAGATACTTCCTCTTAATCGACCAGTCCTCTTCAGCTGATCCCTCCAAAAGGAAAGAAATCACTGAGATTATGCTTAAATGTTGCGATTTTGTGATTATATATCATGGGTGCATTTCTGAGGTCTTCTATAGTTTGCAATTACAAAATGATACGAGTCATAGGAGCAATAATAGCAGGTACCTGGTGATTTGGCGGGTTTGGTTGCGGCGCTTCGAACAGTGAATCTAGCAGCTGTTGAGCCTGAGTTTGTCCTGCTTGAGTTTTGAATAATGGCTTTAGGGGTCAAGCAACAGGAGCTGGGTTCATTAGCAGAGTTCGGGCAATAATTGTAGTTAAAAGCTGGGATCCTGGAATGAAAATTGCGATGTAAAGAGCAAGTTGAATGTGGATTGACTGAAGTGGTGAGGGAAGCCATATGTCTAAAAGAAGAAATGCGCTTTTTATATCAGGCGTGAATCAAGATTGAATTCAAATCAAATTCAAAGAGAAATGCGAGCTAAGCTTTCTTTCTCTTCCTGGGGTTCTTCCTCTGCGTTTGATTTCCTTTCTCTGAGAAATGTGCTTTTGTGTTGTGGAAGTTAGTGGGCCAGGGATCTTGTGGATATTTCGGAGTGTCAAAATCTGGAGTCGTGGCTGTGGTGCGCTGGTTCTCTGCCATTATGGACTTCTTTCGTCTCCCCTTATCCTATCAGCTTTATTACGTACGGTTTCCTAACTCTCTTTCTCCACATATTTTTCTTATGGTTTTATTTTCCTTAATTATGTGGTTAGCTTAACCCGCTCCACCGCCTCAACCAAAAAGCATATACCTATTGGCTTAATTATGTGGTTATGAAACTCAAGTCCCACAAACCAAAACTTAACTGTGGTAGAACTCTTGAGTCTTGCTCATTCCCCTTCCCACCCAGGGTTTCCCTTGAAAAAAAAAAAAAAACCATTATTGGTCTCATCCTCTTCCTGCCATGGTATATTAGTGAAAAGGCAACATGTATAACTTGATTTTCTATTATGTTTCGTTGAGGGCTTTAAGTAAGAAAAGTCCTGCAGACTCTCTCTAGTCCTTGTGAAATTATATTTACTTCCCCATTGAAGTTAATGGGCAGTACACATCGTATAATTAATTACTCATATGTTGTATTACAATGTGGTCCCCTTGTTATTTTTGATCTAAAAATATTTGTATAATATTTTTGTGGTGTTTCTCGTGTTGTTAAACCTTTCAAAACCAATACAAATGGGTTATTCATAAGATGTGCCTTTCTCACTAATGAGAGATAAGGCATCAAAATAAAGATCTTTATAGGCTAATATACATTAAAAGGAACAAGTCAAATTCCCAAAAATAATAATAGCAAATACTCGTATTACCAATACAAATAGTGAACTAGATGGTATTGGCACCATTCTTTAAGTCTAAGGATTTATGGCGAGCACTGAGAAATTTTTTTTTTTTTAATGGGGTCCATCTTCCCATCATCAAGTACTCAAATATTAGCATTACATGCCTCGATAATCCAATCTTCTGGGATGCATGCATATTTCGGTAGTTAATACTTCCTCACTCCCATTTTATATGTTATGGTCAACCTTGTAAATAGTTTTAAAAAAAAATGAAGTTTAACTGAGACAAGTAAGCTACTAAAAAAATGTCTTTTCATTATTGCCCTTCAATTAAACTCTAAATTTTTGTAAGTTGAGGTTAAAATTTTAAAAATGGCACAGCTACCTAAAACAAAGATAGTAGTAGTTTATAGCACGATTTATTCAGAGAATATGATTTAAATGCTTTACCTCGAGAGTTGTATCAAGGATATAATGGAAAAGTTGAATTTCATTTATTTCTATTTTAAATCATGACAAGTATTTAGGGACAAATCAAAATACAAACCATGACATAAAGAGTAAGAGTATTTTGGGAGTATTACAATGACTAGGACTTTGTCATGTTAATTATGAAAGAGATACTCTCTGTAAAGAGATCAATTTAGTGTCGTGGGCTTATGCTTGGACAACGTAATTTATTTTCTTCTCCTCATGCTTGCGGCTGTTAGAAGAAGAGGTTGCTTTCGCTTATTTATGTGGATTTAGAATCTGAAGTCCTCAAGGAACGTTCTGATTTTATTCTTTTCCCACAAAAATGGAAAAAAAAAAATTAAATCTTCAATATGGGCTCCTGTGCCATCATCAGGTGTAATTGATCAGGCACCGCATACTTCAGCCTGGTTTTGTTCTGCAGGGACAACTTTTTTTTTTTTTTTTTCTGCGGAAATAACTTAATACTCCTTCCGTCCCACTTTGATAGTCCTGTTTGCCTTTTTCGTTTATCCCAAATTATAGTCCACTTTTCAATTGAAAAATGTACTGCCTGTTTGGAATCTCAGGTTTTTTGCAAGTTTGTATGATACTAGTTTTTTAACACCTTTTGCTACAGGAACCCCAAAAAACTTATCAAAGTTTTTAACCTACATACTTCATCTAATACACAAAAAATTTCTCTTCAACTTTTCTTCTTTTTCCTCTCTCATCCAACACACCATGTCCTCCGTCACCAGCCATCACCGCTCCCGGCGCCGGTCACCTATTCCGGCATCGCCTTTTTTTTTTTTTTTTTTTCTCTCCCTCTCCTTCACCCCCTCTCCTCCTCTCCTCCACTCCCCTCTCCCTCCCCCGCTTGCTGCGATCTAGTTGCGCGACCAGATCGCAGCTGAGGGAGGGGGAGGGTGGCGGGGGAGGAGAGGGGGAGAGAAAAAGCTAAAAAAAAAAAATTCCATGGCTTCCATTACTCTGGTGTCGGAGTGCGAGGGGGAAGGGGAGGGGAGAGGAGAGGGAAAGAGAAAGGAAAAAAAAATTTTCCATGACTGCTGGGCGACCAGATCGTAAATAGGGAGAGGGGGAGGGTGGCGGGAAAGGGGGAGGAGAGTGGGGAGAGAAAAAGCAAAAGAAAAAATCCATGGCTGCAAGTTCTCATGGCTACTGAGGGCGACGGGGATGGGGGAGGAGAGGGAGAAGGAGAGGGAGAGGGAGAGGGAGAAGAGGGGGAGAGAAAAAGGGAAAAAAAAATTTTCCCATGACTGCTGATTTTTGCCCGTCAGAGGCAGAGGTGCCGGGGGAGGGGGAAGGGAGAAGAAGAAAGAAAGAAAGAAAAGAAAAGGGGAAAGAAAAGAAAAAAGAAAGAAAGAAAAAGAAAAAGAAAGCAAAAAGTTTTTATCCTAAAAATTTTTCTTACAACTTCTACGGTAATCTATAGTAAAGTTTTAGACAAACACCCAAAAAACTCACCTTTCAAACGAGGCCGTAGTTATCTTTTAATTTCTCTAAAATACCCTTATTCAATGTAGGTTGTTATTAATATAAATTCCCTTATTTAATATAGATTGTTAACCTATCCCATTTAATACATTTAGATTTTTCAAAACATATTGATGTATGAAAAGCTAGCTTTGCTATTCTTTCAAGCCCAAATGTGAAATAATGTAAAATGAGGATTGATTCTTTCTTGGTCATCAATTCAAGTTCTTATAAACCATCAATTTAAGTTTTCATGAATAATTAATATAAAATTATACTTTACTTAATGTAAGGGTATTTTAGAAAAATAGCAACCTAAATTTATTGTTCTAACAAAATTAATTACTTTTTCTTAAACTGTGTGAAAAAAAATTAGGATTATCAAAATGGGACGGAGGGAGTACATTTGAAGATTCTGCTTCCTTTTTTTTCCTCTTTATTTTCTGTAAAGGAAAATGCTACATATTTTCTTGTCTGATTCATATCTTTCGGTCTGAGTCCAAAATAATAGAGGAAAATGAATAAAACGGGGTGTTGGATGATTATTTGGACGTAATTATGTACCAAACATTTTCAGTAATAGGATGTAATGAATGCTTGCAAAACAAAAAAAAAATTTTTGTTTCCGTTTCCGAAAGGATGACACGTCATCAAATCAATCACTGCCCTAATTTTGATTGAAGAATAAGTGACAATGAAGGTAAGATCACTTCATTTATTTATTGGTTGAAAATACGTACACCCCCCATGTGACTTACAATATAAGAAAGTGATGGTAGGGAAGCAATCAGACAAGGATAGAAGAGCAAATAAGGAAAGCAATCAGATAAGGATTCCATTTGGATTGCTTTTTTATACAATTTTTTTATAGGAGGATGACAATTTAAAATATAAAAGATAAAAAATGTGATTAGAAAAATAATTTTTTTTTAAAGAAAAATGACAGTCCAAACAAGTACACATCTGGTACTATTACAAATCTCTAATTATTCCAAAAATAAAGAGATCATGACCGGTGTCAATCTCATTGTTACTCTTACCCTGTGCCCCAATAAAGTTAAGGCCGTGTTTAGATTGTAATTTTTTTAAAAAAATATTTATATTTTTCGTGAATATATTTTTAATTATTTTTTATTTTACATACATCATATTGCAACAATATATTTTTTTACAAGAATTTGAAAAGTTAGCAGTTCAAACGAATTCTAAGGCTTTTAATCAGTCTCAAAAAAAAGATTAGAGGAACAAGGGGAAAAAAAAAAGAAAAGGAATCTGTGCTAGGAGCCTTGAACTCCGGAGACCTTGCTCGACCAATTTCTCACATTCCTGCCACCAAATCTAGAAAAGCCCAAAACCGTTTGGGTAAGGGACCGTAGATTTTGAGATGCCTAAGGTAAGTAGGAACACAAATCAAGCAAACAAAAAATTAATTGCTTTTTTTTAAGTAAAAAATATTAAATTCAGAATCTTTTACTTAACAAATATTTCCCACTTAACAACTCAACTCAACCTTCCAACAAAGAAATTACTTGATTAGTCTCAATTCTTTTAATTGGGGAGTTGGACCTCGCCACAGAAAAAAAGAAAAAAAAGAAAAAAAAAACCAGCAACAACAATAACATCCAATGTGACATCGAATGTGCCCGGTGCGCCACCCCAAAAGCCCAATCGGTCAGTTGGAAGGGAAAGTACTGAGCTGACAATATATATACTCCTATAGTAACATAAAGCACCGACAGAATCACACCAATCCCCAGTAGCCGCGTGTCAGCTCGGTTGAATCTAACGGCTCAAAGAAATGAGAAGATGAATCTAAGGAGTTGTTTCCATGATTAGGCGCGTCCCTAGCTGGCGGGTATAAATAGTGAGCTTTCCCCCCGGCTAGCTGCTGTGAAACCCCGGGTACGTAAAACAAATCCCACTACTTGCTATTAATCTCTTTCATTTGTTGTTTTTTCGCAGTGGAGAGATAGTGTGTGTGAGGTTGCGGAGGAGGAGGAGCACCGGCGTCCGATTTCGATTCCCCAAATTAGATCGGCTCTTCTGTGTCTCGTGTGTTTTGCATTTTGTTTTTTATTTTTGACGGAAGAGAGATTAATTTTGTTTAGGACGACAAGGGGGACAGAGATCAATTGATTTTAGTAGAGTTGGAAGTAGTTTGAAAGAGATAATACACAATACAATGGAGTTGTTCTATTACATGGTGTTTGGGGCGCTGGGGGCGGTAGTGGCAGCTTTGGAGTTGAGTAAGGCCAACAAAGATCGGATCACAACTTCTCAGGCTTTCACTTCCTTCAAGAACAACTACCTTCTTGTTTACTCTCTCATGATGGGTACTTTCTCTATTACTTTCCTCTATTTTACTTCATTTCGTCTCTTCATTATTGTTCTGCCTCAGATCTACAAATTTTCGCAAATCAATTGCCACGCGTCCTTATTTGCCTATGTTTCAGTCTGATCTGTCTGTTATCATTGAGGAACCTCGGGTTTGTGGAATAAATAATTGGATCTTGGGGGGGGAGAGAGAGAGGAGGGGGGGGTGCTTCCAATGCTATCAATTCCTTAATCATGTTACTGCTTGTCATGCGCTCTCATTTTGAGGCTTCGGATCTGGATCTCGGGGATTTCATCTATTTGCGATTGCGTTCCTTTTGATTGATAAAGTGCAATTTGGACGGACGGAAGCAGGGCTGTCTTCATATATAGTATTTACACAAAAAATTGCTTATGCATTCACAACGTAACGTATTAAAACATTTCTTCAGATTCTAGATTATTGGAAGGTAAATAGCTGAAGCAAGTTATATATTTCTATATGTTAGCTGCTTTAGAACCCACGTGCATTCTTGTCTTGTATAATTCTGGGAGATTAGAGTGCTGACGATTAGCATTCTTGTGGTGACAGCTGGTGATTGGTTGCAAGGTCCATATGTCTATTACCTTTACAGCACCTATGGCTTCGGGAAGGGGGAAATTGGACAGCTTTTTATTGCTGGGTTTGGATCTTCCATGTTGTTTGGCACAATTGTCGGATCTCTGGCAGACAAACAGTGAGAAATCCCACCTAAAAATTACGCAGTCATAGCTTTTTATTTTCTGCCAATTCAACTCATTTGAGCTTTCAATAAATTTCAGGGGACGAAAGAGAGCATGCGTGACTTACTGCATTACTTACATACTCAGCTGCATCACCAAGCATTCCCCACAGTACAAAGTTTTGATGTTGGGACGTGTACTGGGTGGTATTGCTACCTCCCTACTTTGCTCAGGATTTGAGTCTTGGCTTGTTGCTGAACACTTCAAGGTGAGGGGAATTTGAATCACCTTTGATAAGTTAGAATTGTGAATGCATCCTATGCTAGAATCTCTCTGTCTTTACTGAATTTTGTTAGCTTGGGATGACTGTCCATCAACAAGGACAGGGGTGGATTGATCTGCAAGTACTTTCTCCTTACAAGTATTTCTTGTTTGGTCATTTTGCTCCATCAGTTTTGTTTCTGCATATCTGGTAGAAAACTTAACTACGTGGGGGTCCCTTGGTGTATTTCGAGATGATGAACTCATTTGCATGTTGGTCGAAGATAGTCTCCTAATTTATGCATCTCCATTTGCCTTGCTTCTAGACTTAGATACATGTGGAATTGAAAACTTGGTGTGTTCCTTCTATAAATTTATTTTTATCTTATAAATCCGGAATAAATGATTTATCTTCAGGATTTATAATCTGTTTCGTTTTTGGATTCGAAACACATCACTTTAGCATTTGCATCTTTTTGCATTTTTTCATTAAGCATGGTATCACCCCCACCCCCCCCCCCCCAAAAAAAAAAAAAAAACCACCCCTTTGAATAGTTTTAAAAGAATCAAAGTTAATAGCTTAGGTAGGGTGAAAGTGTTAATTCTAAGGGTTGATTTATCTTTGTAGAGGGGCTTTGATCAGCAATGGCTTTCATTAACTTTCTCAAAGGCTATATTTCTTGGAAATGGTCTTGTTGCTATTCTCTCTGGATTGTTTGGAAATCTGCTGGTTGATTCCTTAAGTCTTGGTCCTGTATCTCCCTTTGATGCCGCTTCATGCTTTCTGGCAATTGGAATGGCTATTATATTGTCAACATGGACTGAGAATTATGGTGATCCGTCGGAGAATAAGGACTTGCTAACTCAGTTCAAGAGCGCAGCTGTAGCAATTGCTTCTGGTAGATCTCCTAACCTGCTTATGCACTGAAAACCATTCCTAATGCTATCAACGGGGCGAATGACATAGTTGATGAATCATTGTTTTAGCCATTTACTCGAAATATATGTCTGTCTCGTGTGTTCTCATCTTTGGGCCCATTCTTATTTGCTGTATATGACTACATTCCAATTTCTTTTATGTTTTTGGTTACTTTTCTTTAGTTTACTAATTGATATCAAAGAATATTGGTTGCTAATTAAAACAGAAAATCCGGAAAAGGCAACTGTAGCAATCTTGAGTGCTTGTCCAAAAGAATCATTTTATGATAAGTTTTTGACATATAGATTCACATTTACTTTTATTTCAGTCCTTGTATATATATAACTATTGACAACAGGCACTAATTTCTTTTACTGAATGAAAAGGCTCTAATTCGAATTCTCTAGCAATAAAAATGAAGAATAGGAGAGATTCGAATCTACATGTGCTTTGAACCATGATTTTGGATGTGGTGTTCTTCTCCATCATGTGCAGCTTGTCATATTGAACTTTTTTAGCATGCAGTGATCTTGATGATAATTGACATCTAATGGCCCGTTGAACTCTTAATAAGGATGCAGTGACTTTTATAATAGTGAGTCACCTGTCAAAGTCTTAATTTATATTGGATGTGTTTTACTACTCTTGTAATGATGATATATTCTCAACTGATGATTTATCAATTTTCTGCTTTCCTTTCTTTTTATCCTTCTTTTAGATTCCTTTATGTGGTCCTTAGTGCTATATTTTGTTGTGGTTCAGATGAGAGGATAGCATTATTGGGTGCAATTCAGTCCCTGTTTGAAGGTTCAATGTATACTTTTGTGTTTCTCTGGACTCCTGCTCTGAGTCCAAATGATGAAGAAATTCCCCATGGTTTTATTTTTTCAACTTTCATGTTGGCTTCAATGTTGGGAAGCTCATTTGCATCTCGACTTATGGCGCGTAACTCACCTAAAGTTGAGATTTATATGCAGATTGTCTTTGTGATCTCTTCTGCCTCTCTGCTGCTACCTATAATGACAAATGTATGTGCCAGCTCGCTTTCTCCACTCTTTACCTATCAATTATGGTTATTATCTAATTTTCCTAATTTTTTAACAGTTCTTGGTAGCCCCCTCGAAGGTAAAGGGTGGTGGTATCTCATTTTCTGGTTGTCTCCAAGTTCTTGGTTTCTGTACATTTGAAGCTTGTGTTGGAATTTTTTGGCCATCAATTATGAAGATGAGATCTCAATACATTCCTGAGGAGGCACGCAGCACTATAATGAACTTCTTCCGCATCCCCCTGAACATCTTTGTTTGCATTGTACTCTACAATGTAAGTTACTGATGCTTGGCAGAAAATAAAATTTTTTTTATTAGAATGCATAGCCCTTTGGTTTACACATTTCGCCAAAACATGGTAATTTCAATCCCACTCTAATGGGTAATGCTGCACCATTGCTTTGACACCATGAACTTCTGGGTATGCAGGATCTTCTCATCTTTAGTTCTGTATGTTGAAAAACCCTTGTATCAATCATGTACTTTCCTCTATGCTAAGTGGATTTTTGCAATTTGAAGGTTGATGCATTCCCCATCACTGTTATGTTTGGCATGTGCTCGATCTTCCTGTTTGTGGCGTCCATCTTACAGAGACGGCTGGCAGCAATTGCGGACAAGCCAAGTAAGTAAATTTTGCTGCCTGTAGACATCACTCCTTGGTACAAGTTCATGTATTGAAAATTGTTGGAACAGAGTTGACACATCCACGTGTAGCAATTTAGTTAATGGTCTTGTATAATGTTACATTGCCACATGGTTACTCACCGGAATATTTGGTTGTAGAGGCAGAAGATTGGACGCCAATGAAAGAAAGAGACGCTGAAGCAGAGCCACTAAATGCTCCTTGATATTAACGAGTCTTCACAAACAAATGTTTTGTGAGGGTTCATCCCATGGCGGGCACACATTTGATTCATTAGTAGCCTATAAGAAATCTAAATTCACTCTTTCAGAAATGCCTAAGGAGAGCAGAAGCTGATGCCAAGAAGAAGTTTAATGCCGCTATAGCAATTTTTGGATACAGATAGAACAAAGTTTTAACATTCACATACTCCTGAACTATTGCTGTGGAGATATCTTGGTGTTTATTTTTTTAATTTTCATGTTTTTGTCGATAAGCAGAAAGTGAAAAATGGTTGCCCCTTTCGTAAATTTGACCTCAGTTTAAGGTTATATTGAGGCCGTAGATTTGTATTTGATATTTTATAATGTTCTTTTTGATTAGCGACAATTTGTAAGAACAACATGCCATTAAGCATTCTTTGTAACAGCGGATTACACGTTTATTTTCCTCGGTAGCTGAGACGAGAGAAAAAAATTCCATGCAAGAATCAAGCACTTTTTAGTACATCATACACCTTTAAGAAGGTCATTAATTAACACCAAAAATCAAGCACGCTCAAAAGAGTCATTGGATGGGGCTCTTGTACATTTCAAGAAGGCAAGAGGCAACCGAGCTAGCTCAGTTGGTCACAAGGGAGTATAGGCAAGGTGTTTGAAATTCTTTGCCTATATTTTCCGGCCAAGATTTTTTGGTGCATTTGCGGAGGAAGTTTAGTTTTTTCCAAATTTTCAATAGCTTAGTTGGATCTATCCCTTCCCCCCACCCCCTGGCGGGCGGGAGTAATATAGGATTAGTTGTAAAAATGTTGTACAAAAAAAAGAGAGAGAGGAGAAAGAGCAAGAGACACTGCATACTCGAACATGGTGCTGAGTATGTCATCTGCCGTTCATTTGTAAGGTGGTAGCAACAAATGCTTCAGTAATTCAAAAGCCTGGAACAATGAAATAACCACTTGCGACTTTATGCTAAAGGTGATTCTACTTTTTACTGCCTGTGAAGGGTACGGCTAATACAAGCAATGCTTCACGTAGATATTACTGCTACAGTATCTTCAAGGAATCTTTTACGTTACTTCATACGTATAGCGCTGTTATGAAGAAAGGGATTGTAACTGGTCAGATTGCAAATTGAATCAAATGCAGGTTTGGAGGAGTTCTAACGGGTGTTAAGGAACCGATGTGAACATAAATTAATGTTTGGAGTTGTAGGAAACAAAATCTCCAGCCATAAGTAATATTATTGCAAAAACCATTGCTGAAGCACTGTATAATGTTCAAGTGTAATTGCCCATGAAAGAATCAACAGAATACATTATATACAGTTGTGACTTGCAACAGTGCCGTTGAAAGAAGGTATAAAAACAGCAGTGGCCTAAAATAATACCTTGCTTTTTCGGTAGTTCCGCGAGGACAATAAGATACAATGCAACTGGCGTTCCATTGAAAACTGACCCATCAAAAGGATGCTTTCACAGATAAAATATGTGCAGTGTGTAAGCCTAAAAAAAAAACAAAAAAAAAAGGTTGGGATGGTTTTAGGCGCCGTAGCCATCCTAGGCCAGGGCAAGCTCTTGGAATCACAAGTTGTTTGCTAAATACTTACAAATTACCCACCAATGCAATACTCATATCCACAATGAAATTTGAAGACATGACCTTTATAGAGGAAGTAGTCCGTCCTAACCAACTGATCCGGTATGCATTGGCAGCAAATTTCGTATTACAACTTGCGCTTATATTCTGTATTACAACATATGTTATACACAAACACAACTGAGAATTATTCACAGAACTCTACTCCTTTTTGCATGTACAGAAGCAGACTCCAAGTCCCCAATGAAGAATAGGATCTTATCTAAAATACCTGAAGATGGTTCCACCATGTTAGAAAATTCTTCTTCCCCAACAGTTGCAGGAGAATGAATGATTTCCCCAGTTTTTGGTCTTCTAGAGCCTAAATGCCGTTGAATCTCGCCTTGGTGGACAAGGTAATAATCATCTCCTTCTCTTATGATCTTTAGGCCCCTGAAAGTACTAAAGTCAGCTTAGTAAAACAGCAAAAAGGATATTTAATTACTTTGTCACAATAAAAAGCTTAAGGTCTTCAGCAAAACAGATTGCTAAATATATCAGGTCCTTAGTTATGAGCCTCAATTGAATCTTCTTTATCAAATTCTTGAGACCAAACACTTGCGTGCAGATAAATAGTGGTCTACAGGGGATTTTTTTTATTGCTATCACAAAAAATATCCAAGGGTTATTTTCCAATTTGGGAAAAAGAAAAGGACAATAGCTTCAAGGATAATGAATTTAATAAAGCTAAGACACAGAAGAGGTTGCAAACAAACGCATGCATTTGCACTAGTGACAGGGCAGCATTAGCAGGCAAAGGGACCAAACGTTCTTCAACCGAGGTAAGGCCAGGGTTAATGTAATATACTTCCAACATTAATGTGTTGCTATTTGAATGAGTTGCTATTTGATTTCAACTTACAATCCAACACGATCACCTCGATCTTGCACTGCATACACATCTTTCCACAATTTTGAACCTTCAGGAGCAAAGAATGTGGCATGATCTACTCCCCATCTTTGCGTAAACAGGTTAGACCATAAAGTGTCGTCTGAGGCTAAGATTTTCCACTTCCTGCACACTTCAACAATAAGAAGGCATCTTTCTCCATCAAATTCAATACAAGGAAACAGAAGATGCATAATCCCAGCATGTAAATGGAAAAATCCAGTTACACTAAAGCAGACAATGGGCTTGCAAAGGTATTTTATGGCTATGAATGATATAAATCAAAATTCAAAGGTTGCCCTTCTCACAAAATCATTTTCTCTACCACTATGGTGTTTTTTCCTGTCTGCAAGGGGTGGGTGCATGATGAATACAAGATCTCGTATCCCCAGTTAAAATTTGAGAACTGGAAATTCGGGGGAGTTAGCAAATAGACATAACGAGCCAGTGCTTGGCAACAATCTAAAGGATCCTTACTCCTTAGAAGCTGATTCTGTCGAATCCTGATTGACTCTTGCCCATGTATATATAATGATGGAGCAATTTTGATCGCTTCTCAATTTCAAAACTAGTTGAGTAATAGTAAGAATGTTAGAGGCTCGAAACTGCAAAACAGTTATCTGTTGGTTCGGTTCCCCTCAACTCAAACAGTGATTTATTGCCAAAAAGCTGCAGCATTTCTTTGCTGAGATGCAGGAGAACAGCCAATCTTAGACAAATTCAACAATGGCAAATTGGACTTCAGAGAGGTAGAAGTTTAAGTCCTGATTAAGCGGAAGTTGAACTATCCCAAAATAATCAAGATTCTCAAAGCAGCCAATATAATAAGGAAATAAAGGACTGAACTCAGACATTAACATCGATCAGATGCTAAAATGAAGGAAAAAATTCAAAGACCAGCACTCGGTAATCACCGTTCGGAGAATGGATCCCTAATGTCACAAAACCTACAGGCACTCCGCGAATTATTAATTAATGGAGGATAGTACTGTCTTGGGTAGAATTTACAAAAGAAATCGAGATCGGATCTTAACTAAAAATTTAGCAATCCAGAGCAACATCAAGTACACTGAGAATTCAATCTGGGGGGAAAAAAAAGGTTTGGAGAAACCAGAAGAAATAAAAGGAGTCAGTCGATACTAACCCAATTGAGCAGTTGCAAGATTTTGATGATCTAACAAACTAAGAATCTTGAGACAGACTTCGACAGGCAATCTCTCCATCGAGCGACAGAGAAACAAAAGTGGGAGACGAAGAAGACGGGATGAGATATGAAGATCACCCCATCCCATGTGCCGATGTGACGAATAATCTCTTTGTTTCTTCTGCCAGCACTGCTTCAAATTCTAATTTACCCTTTTTTTGGGTAATAAATAAATGACAAATATATATATATATATATATACACACACACTAGTAGTGCCCGTCTCAAATTTAAACGGCGAGTCGCAGCAAGTGGAGGAGCAAAACTTTATGAGGCACGTGTCTATCACGTGTTCAGTACTTTTACCCCCAAGCCGTCTGTCTAATGCTGTCAGAGCTTGGAGGCATTCAACTGCAATAAAATCTCCCGTTGTTTTGTTTGTCACAAAGATTTTTTTTTTTTTTTAAAAACAAAATGTAAAATTGGGCATGCTCCAACTGCAATAAATGTTTTTTATTACTTCGAAATGCGGACCACAATAATAAGCGTAACAACCAACGTATACTTTTTGTAATTATAAACCGGTAAGCCGGAGAGATTGATGTAGATTAATACGACTCGTTTTACTGCTACAGTACTACTACTGCCACCTGTATTCTCTGGCTTCACAGAAAGTTGTCCATTTGCAAAACTAAAAATGACTAACCAAATCTCTTCATTGCCTTTGTCTGATCCAGCAGAGCATGGATCCACCTGACAAATGCACAAATAGACTATGTATTCACCACCTGGCAATAAATGATCCAGCAGAGCATGGAGACACCGGGATATTCGGACGTCAGCGAAACCAATTGCACAACACAAATGGCAAAGGACAAGGGGCAGGAACGGTTGAGGCGGTTTTGTGCATTTTGCACACCGCGTAATTTTATTTGCACATAACGTAATTTTATTTGCATAACGTATAACTTTAGTATAAAATTTTATGGATCTCACACACATTATGAAAATCAAGATATAAGAAATAATCTGGATCGCACATTTTTTTTTACCAAAATCTGGCCGTAAACAGCTCAGGAGCGGTCCTTCTGATTACCGCTCCTGCCCCTCATCCAATGACAAATGTAGATGATGCAGACGCAATTCTGTAGACATTAAGCCAATAACTGGCTGTACACACATTAGATATATATATGTATATATAGACATTAAGCCAATATCTGGCTGTAAAATGGGTATTCATTCTATTGCAAGACCTATCACAATTCCAAATTTCTTCCAAGCTACTAATGTTCACCGCACAAAAATCACACAGATAGAGATCTCCACTAGAGTTGTTAATCGAGCCGAGTATTTGGCTGCCGAGTTCGACTCGAGTTTAATTCGAGCCGAGCTCGACTCGAGCTCGTTAGGAAAACGAGCTTTAAAATGTGTTCGAACTCAACTCGTTAAATGTATATGTAGCTCGAGCTCGAGCTCGACTCGTTTATTACAAACGAGTTGAGCTTCACGAGCTCGAACTCGAGCTCGTGCAAATTAACCTTAATAAAAACCTATAATTTTTAATTTTTATAATTTTGATTTCTAAAATGACAAATATGCCCTTCATTAACGAGTTCTAACGAGCTACTCGAGTATCTACTCGGCTCGTTAACTAAACGAGCATGTTTCGAGTTCGAGCTCGACTCGTTAACCAAAATTAACGAGCCGAGCTCGAGCCTTAACGAGTCGAACTCTAACGAGCTTTCGAGCTACTCGATTGACTTAACAGCTCTAATCTCCACCATCAATTCTTTCCAAAAACTCTTCTCGAGACATCTGTGCTACATCGAAGTCTCAAGAAACTTGTGACAGAAAAAAGATTCTTTTCAACCAGCTGGTGGGGGTCAAAAATTTTTTTTAAAAAAAATAAATTTGTAGCCAAACAAAGCAAAACACAAGTAAAACGATAGTGCGAACAAAAAGCTGCTCAGTAATAAATTGAGACTATGATTCATTTGTTTTTCACTGTTGGTATCTGCTATGTAAGTATAGAGACTCCTCTATACACACAAAGGAAAACGTCACCGGACCCTTGAATTCTTCAGCAAGATGTATATGAAGATATCTTTTAACAACTCTAAAACCAAATGTTCATTAAAACATCCAAAACATCATCAACCCGGTGCAGGAAGTAATGACAAAGCGGATGGGATCAATTCTCCTAACCTGTCTCTAAAGCTCAATATGGTGTTCAACAAAGGTTCACTAGAATTGATGCCCTCCCAAGAGGCTTCATCATCGTCTAGCAGTTGGAGCTGCTTTTCGAAATATCTTCTAAGACTAGCATCCACAACATTCACTATACTAAATGATGCACTAGTGTGCATGAATTTTGTAACAAAAAACCCTGCCAGAATCTGCTGGTCAGCTTTCACAAGCTCTGCTAGAAAACATGGGAAAAGCAGTCTTGTGAAAACAAAAATAAGGTTCAAGTTGCTTTTATCTTCACTGGCTATCATATATTTGAGGCTTGACAACTGTGCCTCCTGCCACTGACGAGAGACATTCCCAAACATATAGCAAAGACACGAGAAAGTGGCGCCATAAGAAGATTTGGTGATGATAGGTACTATTATTCCAGATGATAATAAAAGAAGCAAGAATTCATAATCTTTGCCAAATTCATCCGGGATGCCTGTTTGTTTCAACTTTACCTCTACGGCTTCCAAGCACTGCAATTGTACAGCTTCATATGGCAGTAACAACATTATCTTAAGAGCAATAAAACAGTTCAATTCAAGCATAATTTGACTTAGACAACGAGCATCATCTTCATCAAGCAAAATTTGCGTGGTATTTCCTTTGTACTTATCAGCCAATCTCAGAAATTCCTCGTACCTGGAAAGCCTTATTAATTTTTTGACGATCTCCAGCCAACATACATGTAAAGGATGAACCAAAAGAGTGCTGTTACTCTTCGACTCTTTCTCCCTAGATTCTTCCAGAAAGCTTTCCCATCCCTCATCCCAATCATCATTACTCCAACTATTTCCAATATCATCTACCTTAGGAGAATCTTTTCTTCCATACATGAAAAGTTCCTCCCACACTCCCAACATAGCTATCAAAGTATCAATCTCGGATTCAGACTTGGCAGATTCAGACACTTTTACAAAGCAAGAAACAGCTGATTCAGTAGTTAATAAATCTTCTGGTGCAATTTCCAAGCTTGGCGAAATAGCTGACAACATCTGAGATGATTTAAGGGCAACTAAAGTATTTGTAAATCTGTTAGCTGTGTCTGCAACATTTGACATCCCACAATCACTGGTCTTTTCATGATTTACACATCCACTCTGGACATTCTCCCACCCTTCCCAAGGAATAACATAGGTGTCTAGCTCAGAAGAGAACACTTTCAGCTCCTTATCTGTAGCTCTAATACACTGCATAAGCTCCAGGATATATACACGTGAGTGGCTAGGAAGCTGCAAGTTGTCAGATACCTCTGCCAACTTTTTCCAAACAGAATCCCTGACACATTTCAAATCCTCCAAGTTCCCTTCAAGTTTACTCAAAGATGACAAGAAAGAGTGAAACTTTTGCTTTTCAAGAGATCCACTATCTAGGTCAAGCAAGATCATCTCCAGTAAACTTATGTAAAGATGGGGGAGATCCTGGATATTGATATAACATCTTCCAGTGCTTAATGCCAAAGCCGACCCAGGCGAGAGTTGACTCAGTGCATCGGTAAATACATAGGCAACAGCTAGAAACCTACATCCTGAGAAAAGCATTGCTCTGCAGAAATTAAAAATTTCAACTATAGCATCACCATTAACTCCTGAGTTACTGAAACTAATAATGGTGCCCCAACCTTCAATGGGAGAGACTTTCCCCTTTAAAATCAAGTTAATGAATACTTTGAGACACGTCACTAAAGATTCTGAACAGAAGCTTTCATCTGAATGCTCAAGATATTTAAGTTCCTGCATGTCACTCATCATTTTAAGCCACATATTCAATAGCTTGAGAAGACACTCCTGCCACATTGAGTCAAAACGTTTACTTGACGGTTTCTCAAAAGGTACCATTACTGCAACGAATCGCATCATTATGTCCAGTATACCTGGATATTCAATGAATTTCACGTATTTAAGGACAGCATTATAGGTTTGCTCAAGCTCACTCAGGAAGCAATGAAAATTTTCAGGGCTTTCACTAAGGCTATCTGTTTTAAATTGAGTTTCAAAGGTTGTCAACAAATTCAGCACATGGTGTCTGTAGACATACTGCCATGACAAAAGACCTTCAGGTAATGAATCTCCATACAACCCGATAAGGTTGCGGACCATATCTGCCAGCGCTTCAACATTCTTTTCACTAATGTGAGAAAAGACTTCATCATTGAAGCAATCCCAGTTCAGATCTGTCAATCCAGCAATTTTCTTGAAGTTGAGGCCACCAATAAAGGAAACCCTGAAACATTCTTGGCTTACAACCTTGCTGAAACGAGCTAAATGGATGGCATCTAAGTGCATTGGACTCTGGCCAATAGTAGGAAGTGGTTCTTTTAGCTCTTCCAGCTGCAAGTAGCACTCAGCAAGTAGACCATATATATAAGCAAGCCGCTGCTTATCATGACCATCAATCAAAGGGTAGACAGACACAGTAATGACTGTTATGGTTTCCGCAGCAGAGGAAATCACTTCATTTCTGAATTGTGAAAGATCAGCCACAATATCATCCACTGTCCAAGCCTCAGAAGTAAAAGTAGAACTTATATAGTGGAGTAGCACCTAAGAATTAACAAAAAGAAAAGAAATTTTGTAAATTGAAAACGCAAAATTCAGAAAACTTGAAATTTAGAAATACTAACATACACTTTAAGATTTCTCATATTAAAGACATGAGGACTGATAATTAATTTAAGCCTGATGACTTTCACAGATGATCATACCTTGGTCTGATCCAAGCCATAGGTATGGGCTAATTTTATAACATCTTCTAATACATGTTTCTTCTCCAGTTTTATGGATTCAATAAAGGAAAAAACAACACTCTCCCTGTAGCTAGTGTCTCCAGACAAAAAACGAGCTGTTTCAACACCAGGAATAATCTGTTCCAAAACCCTTGAATGATCTGCCACACGCTTTTGGTCTTCTAATTTTAGTTTCCACTCTCTCCAGAATGCAGATTGTGCCTTGTCTAATTCATCTCTTTCATCTAAATTCAACAAGTCATGTGAGGAAAACAAAAAACAAAATTATTAACTTGCTTCTCCACTATATTGGGACCAACAATAACTCAAAAGCAAAAGAAATATGAGCCTGTACTCTGGGACCAATATTTAGTATTAAGCAAAGAAAGCTGGGTCAAAGAGATCACCTGATGCAACTGATTTGTGTTTCTGTTGGAATTCCCTAAGCAACAGCATCCTCTTCTGAGCAGGCTCCTCACATTCGCCTCTGCGGTTATGTAATAAACCATAAATCAACCCCACATTCATAATGCTCATAATTTCGTTGTAACTTTCCCTTGCTTTCACAAATCCTTCAATAATATCCACACCAGAAAAGCCATCCACCAGATTTAAGAGAAAAGAGCATCCCATGATGTCCTCCTCTTCAGTAACAGGAGGTTCCATAATTGATTTAGCAATGGAGATGATCAAATTATCTTTTGGAGCAAAACCGTTCCTTGCCAACCAAGAGATAATAGTTACAACAGCTTGTGTTCTAACACTTATGTACTGCTTTCCTGAAACTGAGCCTGATATATGTTTTTTAGTTGTTTCTGCTTTAGTACTCAGTTCAAGTAACCAAGGAAGGCGCAAAGCAGAAAAGGACAAAATTTTCCCGTTTTCTCTAAGGATAGATTCCCATTGATAACCATTCTCAAAAGGCAAATTTTCTGCAACTAGAGAGAGCAAATCTTTTACGGCATCAAGATGTCCTTGATCACCATAACCAATATTATCAACCTTTCCTGAACAAGTTCCAAAATCAACAGAACCTTGTGTACTATATAGTGGATATGAGATGGCTAAAGTACCCTGAACTGCAGATTCAGGAGGCTCACTCCCGGTCAGCATCATTAAAGTTTCACACTGTCCCATCATGTCAAGATCTTTCCACCCATTTAGCAGATCACCAATAGATTCTTCATCACAGTGGCTCAAAGAAAACCCTAAAAGATGCTTTCGAGAATTTACATCCATATTATCAAGGGCAGGACCTCTTGCAAGAGCAGCACATAAGTCCCAGACAGAACCATGACCCTTTTTAGCCAGAACACGACACAGATCAAAAGCTAGTTGCAAATCTCCAGCAACAGCAGCTTCTCTTGCAATAGCTTCTTGTACGGATGATATTTCATCGTGTGAGCTCAATCCAAGAAGTTTGGCAATTTCAATAAGTTCATCAACATTGAGATAAGCTCCATCTTGACTTGTAATTGCCAACTTAATTATTTCCAATGGATCTTTCATTTGTCTAAATTGCAATGGCAGGACATTTACTCCCAGTTTTGGAAGTTTCAAGGTAAGGGCATCAATGATATCAGCTTCTACCCTGGCATTTCTGCTACTAGGCAAGATATTAAGACATTCCTTAGCCTTCCATATCTGAAAGAAAATTCAGCAGGTTGTCAATAATTTATTCTCTATTGTCGCCATTTGAATAAAAATAATCTTCTTAAGAACATTCCAACCGGAAAAAAGCCATGCCAATAGCCCCATTGACAAGATTCCAATTAGCAAAGATGATTCAAGTAGCTAAAATAGTTAAAATAGATCAGATATGTCATAAGTGAGAAAATATACTTCTAAGTAAGCCAACATATTCTAATATTTCTTTCACTATAACAATCACACTTGAGACCAAAAGTAGCACGAGTCATTTCTAAACTGCAGTTATATACTCCAGCAACAATTCACTCAAACAAACCCTCATCTTTGCTCCCCACCCCCAAATTCACATGAAACTCAGATGTCTGAGAGATGTGAGAGGATTCCCAAGAAAATTTTAGTACAGTACACCTGTGTCATGTGTCATGCCTAGAATAAGTAAATTTATAGCTCTGAAGTTAAATGTGTACTTGAAACCAGCCACCCCCAACTTATACACCATTAAAACATCTAAAAAATTAGAATGTATTAGACATCATTACATTGTCTCAACTGGTATTCATGCAAACTATCAATAACTGCCTTGAGTTCATTGCTTAAAAATTGTCAGACATTTCAGTCTGACGTAAATAATTTCCATTTTGAATGTCTTATCCCAAAAAGTTATAGAGTAAGCCCACAACACCAACATGCCATCAATAGATGGAAGAAGCTTGTCTTATGCCACTGTTGTAAGACATTGATCACAGCTGGAAAACTTGTACAAACAGCAACCCACTTCAGACTCCCAACTTAATGGAAGAGTACAGTACAACACAACTTAAACACTTACTTCTGGACAATCAAGACTTGATGCTGAGAAGAAATACTCTCTTGCAGCTTGAATGACCAGAGTTTCGGCCTTATCTGCAGCCAAAACTACTGAACCTGTACTTTTTAAATAGTTCCTTGCAAGTGGAAATTTTCCAGCTTTAAGCAATCCCCTACAGAACTCTATCAACATGTACTCCAAATCAAGGAAGGGAAAAGCTTTTTCTTGCAAACACTGCAAATCACGCCACATGTTAGCCCAGTCATTATCTGATCGACCCATCTGCCTCCGAATAAATTTGGAGAGTATAAGACGAAGTGTCTGTTTTACACCTTTTTCATCTGTATGTGGCTCCCTAAAATAGTTAATAGGCTTTGGCACCTGAAGACCAATACGAGAATAAGATGATAAACACATGAATAACAACATTTGAATAAAATGATACCCAGTAGGGCATCTCCAACTGCAACATTGCAATCAATGCTTCTAACTACGAATGCTTTTACATCAGAATGTAGCTTGAAAGAAATATAAAAGCCAGACAAGAAAACACAGGACTCAGCTATTAGATGTGACTTATACTCAATTTCACAATGCATACAGTCGTTTCCCCATGTCCCAATTGAATGTCTTGCCTTTTTGGTCTTTTTCAACACAATGTCTGCTTTCCAAAATGGAGAAGTTCAAATGCTTCTCTTCTTCTGTATTTTATACATCAAAAGAGACAGCAGCCTCATATTTCCCCACTATCTTTTAAATTTGAGTTTGATTAATATGTGGGTCAATATATTCCTTACTTTCTAGTAAAACTATCATATTTTTTAACTCACATTCCAAATTTCCAAACTGAGGCATCCAATTCCACATGGCAATAGTAGAATAAAATTGACATCTCAGAAAGCTTTCGAAATTCTAATGGTAGAAAAGTCTGTTATATTTTGAATAAAAAATTGTAGATACTCTGTCCAAGCCTGCTAGTCTTTGAAGGTACTAAAAGCAACATTTTCGCTAAATCAATGTCACCCTCACCAGGAGACAAACTGATAAGAACCAATATCAAAGAACAATGACCTAATTGAAAAACTTCTTTTCTGTACGAAATCCGTCCTAAACAATGGCTGGCAGAGGCAGAAGACCCGACAATAATTTTGTTATACTCCTCTTACAAACTCCAAGGATCCAAAAGCAGGTTTACATGGTTAAGACAGTAATGAGATACTCCTTAACATCCATTTCTCTTTGTTATACATCAGACTACAAGACTAAGAACAGAAAAGAAATTCCAGGAAATTTAATGGAATCACAATTTTTTGTTTAAAAGGTACTCAGATCCATGAATTGAATAAAATTGAAACATAAACTGAAGATTGAAACACAAGACCAACTAGGAAAGCCCAAAGGAGCACTAAAGCAGACAGTGCTGCAAGTCTGCATCTCAGGTCATAAATATGAGTACAGAAAGCAGACCAAAACATAAGCCAATTAATGCTCAAATCAAAACAGTCAAAACTACTAAAATTGGAAACATGCCAGACCAATAACCATGGTAATCGCCAAAGTCCATCCAGCTGAAACCAAAACAGCCAAAACTATTTAAGAAAAGCAACATGTGAGGTCCATAAACCTGGTAAATTGCCAAAATCCTCCCTGCTTCAACGTGGCCTTCAGTGACTTTCAATCTTGTCTTGAGGTCCTCATTTCCATAACCTGTAACATCCAATTGCATTATCTTTGGAGACATTACATTGAACAATAATTATGGTCAGACTTGAGCAATTTGATGCACAGAACTTATTTAGCAAGTTGCAATTTATTATAACCAAAATGAATTTTGCAGTCAATAACCAATAGACCCTCAACAAGTACAACTTATTTATTTGTTAAAACTGCTAAAGAGCACTTCCTTATTGTTAAAAATATACTATAGAAGCCCTTCTAAACTCCTCATCCCATTTGAATGTAATTTCAGACCTTGCCCCAGCCGGGGAAGAAAATGTATTTTTGTCTATCATACTTGAAAGCCATAGCCAAGCTACACAAAGAAATAACTTCCTGTTTTGTTTAACCTATTCATGGTTAAGGTCTGCATACTCTGCTATCAGGTATGAAACTGATAACCTAAGTAAAACATCATCATCAATCCAGCTACTCTGCTAACCATTTTCCACTTCAAATTAGTGAGTTGGAACCCTGTAATTTCAAGAATACAAACCTCGTAAATGTTGAAGTTTAGATAAAATTGAGGACATTGTACTCCATCTATCTGTTGAAGAGCACAAATACATGCACTGCAGAGCACAATCCACCACCTGGGCCTCATCTTTGAAAAAGTAACTATTTTCCAGATCCGTGCACCCTTCTTCAAATACTATCAAACATATCCCTAGTTTATTTTCCAAAGAAATCTCTTTTAGCCATCTAACCAGAAATGAGTCAGCTGTATTATCCATAGTACATTGGCTACCAGTCAGCTCATTTGTAGAATCAGCAGCTATATGATAATCCCTCTTTTGCATGAATGGGATTGCAATATTCTTTAGTCTTCCAATTACGTCTTCCTCTGTCACTCCCATGAGCAGCAATCTGAATTTTTCATAGTCAGATAACTTCTCCCAAGCAATAAGACTAAGAAAAAAATTTCTTTTCCCTTCATTTTCATCAGAATAAATAAGCTGGCGCAGGAAAGAGATGTCCTCATAGAAATGCTGCAACTCTGAGATCCCCTTTTGATAACCAAAGTCAACCAAGCACATGCAGTTTTCAAGCTGTCCACTTAAGGTATCAATATCTCTGGCTCTATTTTTGTACCAGCTAGAAAGATCAGCAGTTGATGGCCATTGAAATCCCATGTATCTCTTGACAATTGGTTCAGTTCTAATAAGAACCCTGCTACCATGGTCCTCAGGTAGACTGTTTATAAATGAGACCATCTTATCACATTCAACCCAATCTTCCTCCCTCAGAGCAATACTTGCAGGAGGGGAATTCCCAGGAAGGAGCTGTGCATAACTCTGAACTGGAACTGTCTCAGGAATAGCAGCAAGAACCTCCAATATGTAAGGACCGAGCGAAAATGGATGTCGTTTGAAAAGAAGGTTTAACGCTCCAATCTTCCCTGTCTCTGCAAGGGCTACAGCAGCGTCATTAATTGGTAAATTACGAAATTTATTGTACTCTTGAGCCGAGAACCTGCAAAATGGTTTAGTTAAGGGCATAGTCATTGGGAACTATTTTAGCATCCTACAACTGCAAGACAAAACAATGCTAGGAAGATTACAAGACCACCAGATTCAAAAGTTCATAAACTGATATTGTGAAACCCAAAAAAAACTGCAGGCTACCATATAATATGCTAATATAAACGACACAAGATTTTCGAGCCTGAATGTTCTCCCCTACTTGGTTGTCAGGACAAATATCGCCCTCCAGAAATCCAGTCCAAAGTCTGCTTAAGTTCAGCAATTCAATCCTAAACACTTGTGCCCATACTACCCAATAGTCTGTTCAGGTGATCAAAATTCTGCATATAACATTGTCTCAGAATTACATTCCCTGAATTCTTTATGCAGAGAATAAGCCAGAATCACTTGCAACACTGCCTTGGTTCAAAAACTTAAATTCCCTCTTCTCCTTACTATTTCATTCTTTTTGTGGTCGAGTTTTGGGAAGGATTTCAGGGGTTTGTGTAGGAGATGGATGTTTATTCCCCAGTGAGTTCATCAGCCAGCTCATACTATAAACAAATCATTGAAGGTTGTGATGTTTGAAAGCAATCAGGGAAGGAGAATGGTAGGAAAAAATTCCTCACTCTAAGCAGTGCTCTCCGAGATGTCAAGGATCACGAAATTGCTTAAAGAAAACATAAAAACATATTGCTGCCCAAATATACAAAATAACATAAGATAAAGCTTTAGTACTTGTCCTTAAACAAGAGAAAACTTATATTTATGTATACATACATAAGTATATATATGTAGGAAGAAACAAAACTTATATTTCTTTAAACAGTGAAAATTAAAATATTATTACCTTCCCATGTTTATCCCAAGAAATGTTTCCAGCCGGTCTCTAAACAAAAGCAACTTTAATCTTGCCATACGGAAGTCCCAAACTTGGCTGCTCTCATCTTCTTGTGATTTAGAAAACCTGTAATTCTCTGTTAGGTGGAGTCCATAAGCCAGTAAAGCCTTCTCTGCATCTTCTGTTGGTCCTACACAATCTACACATTCAGACAGGACAAAAACATGGTCCTTGATAGTTGACAGCAATTTATTTATCTCGTTTACTCCTTGACTAGAAGACATCCATTGTGACTTCAACAGTTCATCTTTATCCAACCCATGATGATGAGCAAAGCTAAGAGCAACTTGATAGTCTTGTTTACGTATTAGCAAGTCATACATTTCAGAAACAGATCTTTCTGAAAGTGAAAATAAATTCCACTGCAGTTTAGCACATTCCAGCTGCTCAATAAGACGCAAGTCTGTTGTTCTTTTTTCTTCAGATGATTTATAGCTTTGCCCAGATGTACTCTCCAAAAGAAAAAGGCATCCAGACAACTTCTCCACTGTTTCCATGATAGGCATTGAGTAAACAGGATCTTTCTCCAACAATTTAACACCAGTAGGGACATCAAACATCGTAATAGTGCCATCCCTTTTCGCAACAGCAAGTACATCATCAGACCACCAAGTAAAGTCAACTATATCATTCAGAAAATCCATGCCTCCACCAGACAAGTCATTTTTCATTTGCAGATCATGCCTCTTTGTATTGTAAAGATTTGATAGGCTCCACTGCTTTTGATGAAACTTAAAAATAAGCAAGCAACCCCTAGCATCAAGAGTGCCAACAAAATTTCCCTCAGGTGAGATGAGCACCTTCGGAGAAATCAACTGATCTACACCTTTTGCTTCAGCATATAAACCTTCAAAATCAATGGATACCACGAGCTCCAAATCTGAGCTGCTACTTCTTTGCCAAAGAGATAGACTAGGTGATCCTGAGGAAATTGTCAAACACTAAATATCATAGAAGATTTTTTAGAATAAATATTAAAAAAAAATTACATCAAGGAAGAGTTAATTATTTCTGAAACATGGACTATCCAGGGAGATAATTGGCTATTTAGCAAAACAGAATGCCTCTATTAAGTATATTTTGTTGATAATAGACTTCTGAAAAAAAAAAATCTTTCCCCTGACTTAATTAAAGTAGATGGATTCCAAATAATGCAATAAATTACAACTTTCCAAACTTACAGTATCTTAGTAAACAACAGAATGTAGGAATGTTTTACACTAGAAGACTGCCAAATGACTAGAAACAAGTGAAGAACTAAAGTTTTGTACAATTTATCCTCATGCAAAATCCACTTTTTAAGAATAACAGGCTAACTCTGACCTTTATGCCTCTTTTTACAAGATGTTTCAAGTAATCAGTCTGATAAAAAAAAATAGTTCATAGATGAAACTATTGTCTATTGCACTCGCTATTTCAATTTATATAACTAAAGTTGTTAAAAGAGAGGTTCACAGCAACAATCAGTAATCACATGCTATAGGCAGTAACTCAGAGGACTTATTTGCCAATTATTTGTATATAGGCTAACCACAAAAGAAGATTGAGAACAAAAGTAACAAAATTCACAAAAGAAGAAAGTTACTACATCTTTGTTCTTCAAATTAACTAAACTCATTCTTAGACCATATTTCCAATTCAGAGGTACAGCCTTTAGGGGTGCACTGTCAACTAGTTAGAGTTTCTTTTATCCAACATTCTACCAACACAAATACTTTGAGATCTATTCAACTCCAAAATTTTACTAACCTGGATGTCCTGACGTATTGGAAATGGCAACACCACTGGCACTACTGATTGTAGCAAACAAAGACAACTTTGGATGGTGATGCATACAGAAAACATTCTTTGGGAATTGTTTCTTCAGCATTACTCCAGTACGTGCAAGAGGAGCTGCAGACATGGAGGCACTTAGATCCTGACTAATTTCTAAATCGTGGAGTGAACCATCTGATGTAAGAATGCTAAAGGTACACCTGTAAAAAATGTTAGCAACTAAGAGACCGACAATTGAAATAGGAAAATATGGAAAAAGCAATTAGCAGGGAGAAGGAACCTCAAATCAAACATAGAGCTTACAAGCATGCTTTGTTCACATCATTGTCATCCTGCAAAATCAAGCACAATATTGGTAGGGAGACTTTAAGATGCTTCCCGGTGATTCTGGTAATTTCTTCTCCATTAGCTTTAATGAAATATAGAGTATTAGTGTCATCAAAAACTCCAAGGACTTCATGAGCTTCTGACCATGTACCACATGTGAAGGCACTGATGTTTCCACCTAGTAGATAAAAACAAGCAAGAAGCACTGTTAAGCTTATGGAAACGCATGAATATCAGAGCCCAACCATCAAGACTGGATTAACATGTTTATTTTTCACGTTTTGAATCAATGATAGCACCCCTCAAATTTCTATAACTTATTGGTAAAAAAGGAAATACAACATCAACATTAGCTCCCATCATGCGAGAGCCCTAAAAGATGAAAGCAATAAACAACTACAGAGATGCCATTACACACCAAATAATGGTCTAATTATAATCTTGTGGCATTAGAACAAACAGTTCACCCTGGTTGTAGATAGAAGATCCTCCCAAATTCTACAAACTCATTGTAACATACATTATTTGATAATTTTCCAAGATTGGCTAACTCACTGGTAAAAGTGCCACTTGGTTGTTGATAGTCATCATCTTTCTGCAAGAACGTTATCTGATTCCTGAAAGCTACAGCCACTCGATCAGCATGGGGAGAGATGAACAAAGCTGCATGCTTACCCACCTTTTTTGGATTCCTATATTCTGTCCATCTCTCCTTCATTTGGGTGATGCCTTCATGGTTGAGGAAGTTTCAGAACAAACATCAGCAAGCAAAGAAATTCAGAGAGAGAGAGAGAGAGAAGCATGTGTGTGCATATATAGTTCCAGGAGAGAATGACATATGAACACTAGAAAATCAAGTTGAAGCAAAATGTTATATAGCTTTGAAATGGAACAAGGAACAGCTGAATGACTTTGAAGTCCAAGACTATTTTGATTTCCAAATGTCACTGCCTGCGTTATCAAATTAATCGATCAATAATCAGCCACAGAGTCCCTCAAGCCTAAATTACTTAAATTATATAATATTTCCAAGCCGAATTTGCAATTGCCTAGCACAAGTACATTAAACATGCAGAAGACTGAATGCAAGCTGAAAATATGCAAACTGAAAATGGTATAGCTTTTGCGTATTCACAAGTTTGGATTCAACCCTAATAAAGGTCCAGTATCACGTATTTATGAGTACTAGTTGTACAACTTACACCTATATTTGAACATCACGAACTCAAGCATCTGATACAACTAGTGAGTTACCATTAACAGTCAGCATTAGAAGTACCTCGCAACGAAAAGTAGGAGAGTAAAGTCCTTCCGCGGCCATCGTCCACCTAAATTGGTCATAAAAAATAAGCAATCAGGATATGCAAATTTCTGGCGAAAAAAGGACATAGCCAAGAAAATGCAGAGTGAACCTGTTGACCCGTCGGAGGGTAATTGGAGTAAGTTCCTGAAGCGTGACGCCGTACTTCAAACAGAACTTCTCTCACGCCTCCGCCCATGGATGGATTCCAATTATGTGTAGCGTCAATTTCCATTTCCAAGTTGCCGCCGGTGGGATACTAGATGCTTATAAATCCCTCGCCAGGTTTCTCAAAATCTCGTCCCCTGAGAAACCATGGAAAGCGGACCAAATCCTTGCGGATCAACTGTCTCGAAAATAAATCGGTTCGGTTCGGTTCCTCTGTTCTAAGCCGAAAAGGTCGCCGGTTTAGACTTTCGGCTGAAAGTAAGTTAGTTATTATTTATTAATAAGGGTTTGCTTAACGGTGTTAAGGTTTATTGAAAAAGTGAAGTTTAATTAGGTGGCAAGCGCTTTATTGCAAGGAGTAATAAAATGCGGGTCCGCATTTAAATAATAATTAATACTAATTTATATGTAAATCATGTGCTAACCAATACGTGTTTGTATTTATTCCAACCCGTAAAAAAAATGACCCAAGAAAACAGCAATTAATGACGCTATCCTTTTTCTTCCTTTTATTTATTTTTCCTTAAAACCTGGTTCAACTTCCTCTACTACCAGCGAAGATACTTGCTCTGACGTAAAAAAAAAAAAAAGAAAATTAGGTTAAGAATATATGGAGTAACTTTTCTTTAACAAAAGAATATGGGATAATTTTACTAACCTTCATTGATGTTTTTAGCAAGTGTGGGAAGCTTCTCTCAAGTTTAAGAATTACATCTACCTCTTTTGCTTTTCACTGTTTGTGTGAAAATTTAAGTACTTAAATTTTCTCTCGAAAATTCCAGAATACCCTTTCGTAATAAAAGAACAAAATAGTTTATCGTGCATCTTCTTCAACCTCTACACAGACCTAATATTCTGTAGTAAGAACTAGCCAAGCACACTCCAAACTGTAATCGCTAATCCAAGCAATGCCGGCAGCCCAAGAAATGCTGATCATTACTTGTTTCAGCGCTTGCCTAAAGCCTCGTCTGTGCTCAAATGCTTGCCCCAAAAAAAAATTTCATTGACACTCAATCACAATCCAAATATAACCTCCAGGGCTTGACAATTCTCAAACATAAAACAATCTAGCTTTACACCACCATTACCAATATTGAAGCAATGTCCCTATATTTCCAAGAATATTATCATCATAGAAACATAGAACAAATTCCACCTCCATTGCAAAACCACAACTAAAAATTGCTAATGCAAGGAAACAAATCCAAATACAACAAAAAATTTTAGTCAAAACAATGCAAATTAACCACCTTTGTTCCTCATGATAATATCAGAAACATCCCTTGAGGTTTCTCCAAGTATTACTTGACACCTTTGAGGTTTTAAAAATATCATTTACCTCCCTCAGTAATTGTAAAAAGACCATATTAACCCTCACTTGACACATAATTCACATATCGAATAAATGGAGTTTAAAAATAAAAAAAAAACTAAATGAAAGTCACTTTCTTCTCTTTCTCTTTTCTCGATCATTCTCTCTTACTCTTTTTTGGATGACTATGCAATATTTTATTTATAAATTATAATAAATTGAATTTTGTTTATCTTTTATTTTTGTGATTGTGATAAAGTGGGAAATGATTTATTTGCTTATTTTGACTTAATTTTTATAATTATTGGTACAATTTAATGGTTTGGGCAAGCGGTTGAGAAGGTGTTGGAAAAAATATATAAAATTTATAAGAAATTGATTTTGAACATATAGAGTTAAATTGGTGCAAGTATATTTCTTTTCAAACATCTTTTTTTTTATTTTTAAAATTTATATTTTTACGGGGTATAGTATTATGATGTGGTAGTACTACAAGAAATTACTTTTTAGGTGATACTTTTCTTGAAGTGAACAAAATAGTTTACAAATATTTTTATTTGGCAAGTAAAAGCGTAGTTTAGGATTTTTAAAAAATGTTACACAAATAACAAAAATAAGGGAGGTAAGTGATATTTTTAAAACCTTAGGATGCTAGGTGATATTAAGAGAAACCTCAAGGGAGGTTTCTAATATTATCCCTTATTCCTCTTTCTTGTTCAATTATGAATATGATGATCTATTTCTCAAAATTACGAGGCTTTTTCTCTTCATCTAACTTGACAATGATATTTGCTCCTCATCTAAACTTGTAATTTGACAATTTCAACTTGCTATATCTATAGATTCTAAACTTAAAAAGTGATAGGATTTAGTAGTATAGTGATTAAGAAAAAGAGGAGGAACAATAGTAGACAACAACCATAGAGAAGATTAGTGGTTATAGTGAAAGGCAATTGTTGATTGGAGTAGAGCTATGGAAAGATAAAGTGAAAATGTAAGAAGAGAAGATAAATAAGAAATTGGGTATTCGTTAAGAGTTGGAGAGAATAACGTTTTTGGTTGGGAATTATAGAGGCGGGGTTTCATTTTTTAAAATTTTATTTTTGGTTTTATATATCCCTATAGATTATTTATTAAGTGAAGGACATTATATAATTTATTGCTCTTGGAGAAGTCAGTGTAATTATTTAAGCTTGAGGAGAATTAAGTGAAATTGTTAAAAATCTAAAGAAAGGTTTCTGAAATTATCATATGAGAATATTTATTGATGTTGATTAACATTTGGACCCCACATTTTGTTTATGCCTACTATTAGACCCCTTAAACGACACCCCTTTGGACTAAAAAGTCCAAAAGTGGAGTGCAACTGATGCTCGAGACGTCCCCTCGCGGCAAAGGTTAACAAACAAGACTATGAGAGTCACTAATGGATAAAGCTTATGTTTAGTAACGGTAAAGGTCAACAAATAATGATGGGGCAAAGTGACGATAAAAAAGTATCAAGGGGCAAAGTACAACTTATACCTAATTAACTGCATGGGATTTAGTGCGATTAACACTATAAAGAATGATGAATGCATGAGAGGCTATAGGCGCCTTTGAATTCCCAAAACTAGAAAAAAACAAGAGGAAATCACTGAGTTTTGGCTCAATGATCACCAAAAAAGAACTTAATACGATCTCCGTTGCATAAGAAACTCGTGATTAACAAGCCCGGATTGTGATGGTGATATTCAAGTTTGGCAGCGGAAAACCTACAACCCAATCTAACCCCCGAGGTGTGAACTTCTTGGTATTATCTCAACCCACAACCCAACGAGTTAACGAACCAAGGTTTTAGTAAAATGGCTCCACAATCAAGTGCGATTCTTAATTGATAAGCCAAAGTTGAACACTCAAGAGAACCTCTAAAGTATTCAAAAGGAGCTCACGAAAAATCAAGAGAGAATCTCTCAATTTTTGCTGGAAAATTCGATTAATTATTCTGGAAAAACGTTTTAACTCTTTTATAGAATTTACAAAACACGAAACCAACTCCAACTAGGAAACTAACTTGACTTTCTTGGGCCTAATGGAAACTGTTAGGTTGGCCGTGCTTAATGACTCTAAAAATGACATGAAAATGACTCAAAGTAGCAACTAAATGATTCGGTCTATCCTCAAGACTAAACTAGGCGAATTACATCAATTTTAACCTACTTAAGCAACTACTAAACAAATGACTAAACAACGAATCTAAGAGCTAGTTTGCTGGACCACTTGAAGCAATGTAACAATTGATTGTTCTTCTTGATTAAGATTTTCAACCACTTTAGAACCTTCAATTGATTCACGAACAACATGAACTAATGTATTGAGTTGTTCTTTAAATTTCTTAACACGAGCTCTAGTAATCGGTCCAACTGGAACAATAACTTGATCATTACTCGAACCACGAACTTGATCATCAACGCCTTCAATCTCGTTGCTATCAGGACTAAAACCCTTTTTGAACTGTAGATCAAGAATTCAAATCGTACATGTTTTGAAAAAAATTCAAAAGAAGTGTCAGAACATTTTTTTAATCCCTATAGAATAAGATAGATTATATTATATGCAAAAAATATTAAAAGAAAAAACAAGAAGGGAAAAAAAAAGGGGAAAGATTCTATCAACTCTCGGACAAGGTATCCACCGCTAGCTAGCTAGGCTACAATTGCCTACCCTATGAGGCCTGGAAAGGTTAGTTTCCTATACTACTAGTAGTAAAATATGTCTACAGACGAAAAAGAAAAGGAAAAAGGGTTTGCTGAAATTGAAGCAGACGATGACCACCGAATTTAACAAATGTACAATTTGTTCATCATTGAGACAAACTTTTGTGCCCACTGCTTTCAGATTAGGTATTCTCTTTTCTCAATTAAAAAAAAAAAAAAAACTCAAAAAAGGAAGACCCCTCCACTTCCTTTGAAAATCAAAAGTACCAAAATATAACTTCGCGGCGTGAAGGTTAGTTGCCTGCACATTTGCTAGTACTAATCAAGGTTTGTAAAATCGGGATCCTACGTAGGATCGATTTTAGTTTCACAGGATCGGATCGTAGGATCGGATCGTAGAATCGTAAGATCCTACCAAAAGCTCTTAATTGCAATTAAATGTTGCAATTCTTTGATAAATTACAAATATACCACAAATATTTTCATTTATTGGCAAAATGGAGCTTCGTATTTCACAAATTTACAAAAAAATTGTAGGATCGTACGATCCTGCGATCCTACGATCCTGCACGATCCTGCTACGATTCTATGCGATCCTGCAAAAAATTAATATGATTTGCGACTCTGCATAAGATCCGGATCGCGATTTTGACAACTATGGTACTAATACGTACCTAGCTAGCTAGCGTCTCAAGTAGGAACCCAATTAGTTGGATTCGCTTTTTGCACCATTAAGGGTGGAAATTAGCTAGCTTTCTGCGCAAATCTGTCTTGATCTGAATCACCACTGTAATCAATCAATGAAAAGAGTTAAAACGCTTATTGCCAATTTCTAGTATTGCAAATTGTTGATGATGAAATGGTAAAGGTGTCGTCGATTTGTTAGGTCACGCATGTTTCCGGTCAAAGAGTGATTAGCCTATGTTGTTGTTCCTGAATGAATTAATTTGACCATGAAATATTAATATAGTACTACAAAATGTTACACGACAAAGACATGGCAACAAATCCGTACAAAAATCACGTGCGATTTTTCAAAGTATCCTCCACTATGCTCGATTTTTTTTTTTTTTTTTTATAAACAAAAAAAAACTGGAAAGGACCGTTAGTGGATTCTTAGTCTTAGTATCATGATAATTTGTTATTTCTTAGCCTAATTGACTGGGAAATGATAATTTGTTCTCTATAGACGACTGATTGACCAGGCGCAGGAATTGCTTTCTCATCTCTTATAGTCAGTCCTTGGCTGTGGGAGCCATTTCACTGCCGGACAATTGTTTCAGACATATCAAAGTTAAGGAAGGTGGTTGAGCATATACGGCAAATGGTCACTGTCTGGCATTATAAAAAGAGGCGAGGCAGCACTCTTCTTGATCATCTTCAAGAAGTAAAGACTCTTTCTGCCGCAGGGGGAGAAAGTGAGCCAAATTAAGGGAGAAGCAGACATGGCGTGATACTGGTTGCGGCTCATAACATTCTGTCGTAGAGCAGAGCAGAACAGCTTGAAGATGAGCCGAACCAATATCACTCTTGTATGCTTCCCCGTTCAATAATTAACGTGTTCCGTCTATAAATTCTTTCTCATTGATCAAGGCCATCTGGAAGTACGTGATCTATAAAGCCTTCACCTTTCTTCTTCTTCTTCTTCTTCTTCATTTTTAAATCCTAACAATATTGCTGTATAGTAATTTGCAGGTTTCCGGCCGGTGCTGCAGAGAACAAGAAAACGTTTCGAGCCATTAAGTGCGCGCCTCACTTTGTGGTTTCTTTTGCTTGATCTTGCCATCACTAATTCTCTCCGCAGGGACTTGATTTCCAGTAACCAAACTTTTGTTGGAGCGTATTTCGATTTGGAACAGTTAGATAAATGACTGATATTGCATCATACATAACCGATTATAATTTATATCCATCCATCATTTCAACAGGGTTTAGGTCATTTTTGGGCACCATTTTTACGGGTCAGAATTTAATTACCAAGGGCTATTTTCTACTTTATTTATTCCCTCAGTAACTCCAAAAACAGATACCAATATCCAACTTCACCGGCCCGTAACATATATTATCTGCTTGAATGATTATGATGATATATGCTACCGGTCGATGTAACATTAATTACGGGTCGATGTATCGAGTACTCGCCAAAGCCACGCACAGACTTTCTTCACGCATCTAAGTTTTGTGCTCATGACCAAAAGATAGCGAGGTTTTGCAGTTTCAGCAGTCCTTACAAACGATTAATATTTTGTTTGTGCATTCCCAGCCTTTATTTGACTTTAAATCTACCGCGACAAGCTAACTACGGCTTGAGTAGTAGCAGTAGCCTGCTGTGTCTTTGCTAAGTTTACGGGAAGGAGGGCGGAGGAACGATTGCTTAGTATACAAGCAAATCAAGTTAATTACAAGCAAATTAAGGCAAGAAGATCTCTGCTGAGGTTACAGAATATCCCATAAATTAAAGGGATCGGGAGTTCAAATTCCCCTACTTCCTTCGTGTTTCTTTTAAGTCCCATCCCTTCTGTTTGCTAAGAAAAAAGATATGTATATCAGAAAAAAGAAAAACTAGGGTCTCCGCGATCAGACGCATGTAATGTACTTCCCAATACTGAAAGAAGTAGGTAGCCATATACGTCTCCCATGTTTTTTCACATTCATAGAGAGGGAGTAGTAACCCAACAACCTGCCTAATGGATCTCGCAGCACTTGCTTATTCTTCTATTTTGTTCAGTTCTTGCAGCAGGGCTGTCAGAAACCCTCGTCCATTCATTCCGTAGATTGGAAGTAGGAATTTGATTCGCTACTGTAGACACGTGTGTGATGGAAAAGAAAAAGCAGAATTCTGTCGTTTACTGCAAAGACACGTACGATAATAGGAAATTGCAGAAATTAATTAGGTGTGGAATACCCCAATAATAATATAAAATAGTATTAAGGAAGCACGTACATATTAACAGTAATACCGAATTACTTACTTTTGGACGTAGTACTACGAATAAAATATCCATTGTCATTTTCCAGCAGCTTAAGTTATACTACTACTACTACTATATAACTCAGCAAAGCATGTCATTTTCAAGAATGCGAAATAAAAAAAAAAAAAGGCTGTTTGACGTTGAAACTTTCAAATTCACCTGCCCCTTTAAATTTTAGATTATCCTCGATCTTATAATGTATGGAGAGGTAATTTTCAAATCCCATAGACATACATCATCTCCATCTCCATGACAGAATCACTACTGAGTAATTAATTAATAGAAATTAAACAAAACCATCCCTAGGCAGTAGGCACAGGACATCAATAAGAATATGTGTAAAACAAGTTGGTCGCTTAATTGTCCTTTAGCTTTAAATACATATGTTCTCCAAGGTATACTACTCTACCGTGTCTTTTACACCAAGAAACATAATAATTTTATTGTGCAGAAGAAGGTCGGCAATTGCTGGAACTGGAAGGAGGGTCGTTATACATATGATGGTCTTTAAAGGCGGCAATCAATTGAAGAGTCATAGTATATAATTTGGAGGATGGATACAGGCAACCAGCTTCTACGTTGGTATTTCAAGATTTTGATTATTGATTTCCGAAACGAATGCTTATGAGCCAAAAGCAAGCAGCATACAGTCACCAAAATCGTATAACAATATTATATTTATGATTTGATAGAGGGTTAATTCCACTTTGTCCCCCCAAACTTTGGACGATTACCCACTTAAGTCCCTAAACTTCAAAATGGGACACTTAAGTCCCTAAACTTATAAATACCTTCCACTTAAGGAAAATTGTTAACAAATCCTGAATGTCGTTGGTGGTCGAAGTGTCCCATTTTATAAGGGTTTAGGGTTATAAGTGTCCCATTTTATAAGTTCAGGGACTTAAGTGGGAGGTATTTATAAGTTTAGGGACTTAAGTGTTCCATTTTGAAGTTTAGGGACTTAAGTGGATAATCGTCCAAAGTTTGGGGGGACAAAGTGGAATTAACCCTTTGATAGAATTAGAACCGAGTGCTCGAAACTGAAGAGTTCCATCTCTCTCTCTCTTTCCAAGTAAGTAGTCAAAGATTCTCTCCTCTGGACTGGAGTGGAGACGTACTTCTTCGCTAGTCACTGCTACTCTTCCCATCAACAAATTTATCCAAAACAAAAAGACTTTTGCTAATTCCATTCTCTGTTCGTTAGTTGGGAGTCCTGGTCCAAAAAAATTCCAACGCATACCTACCCATCCGACTCGCAGCAGGAATGGGAAAATAGTTTCCTTGCTAATCCAGCATTTCCAAGATTTTCCCTTTGCAGGCCCTGTCCCTTCCGCATTTAGGCAGCTTAACAAACATGATGATGTCTGCAGCGGATAAGCCCAGTAGATTGCCTTTAAACAAATGACTTTGCCCTTTGCTCAAAAACTCGACTGTTCCCCCCTGAGATAATTTAGCAGCAGTGACGACATGTACGTGCTTGTAAAAAAAAAAAAAAAAAATCTCAACATCTCTGATTGCTTACTGTGCATTTGTGTCTGCATTAATAAGTGATATCAATCGTATTTATATCACTCGTTGTATTTATTTTTAAATAATAAAAAAAAAAAACATCGTTTGTAATCCACTGACCATTTAATTTCTTACTTAATAATCTAGTGCACGTGTCGCATGGATAAGCATTTCAGTACTCATTATTTGAACCTGTACCACTTGCTAATTCTTTGTGCATCTAATTCCAACCTGCACCATTAGGCACATATCTTCTTTCCTCTTCCACTTTTAACATTTTCATTTTTTGCAGATTGGCGTAAAGTTGCAGTAATCCTCTGAAAATAAATATATGCGACGCCGATAAGCATTAGTCAGAGACCGTTGAGGTAGGAGGGGGGAGAGAGTTACCTGTTTGGACAGGGGAAGGGGAGGAGTGTGTCAAAAGGACGCCGGTCCAATTTTCAGTTTCATATTATTACAAGAGTACACTTACCACCAAAGTGACACCCAAATATTGCACTTGGATGGTTACTGCTTCTGTGAAATGCCACGTAATTAGCATGCTCATATGGCGATTTCGGTTTGTAATGAGAAGCCAGTACCGTTCTAATGTTATATCTTAATTAGAAGATTCTAATGGTTCAACTCCCAAAAAAATCCGGATTTTCTCTGCTCCACCCATATAATATGTAGGAAGTAGGAACCACCCCAACCAGTGATTAATCACGTCGACTCTCGGACTTTAAAACCACAAATCAGATCAATTCAACAACCAGTCCACCGATCACAATTCCGCTCACCACCTGCCTTCTATTCTTCCTCTGTCGCATTCTTCTTCTTCTTCTTCTCCCCCCCGCGTCTTTCACAAAAGCAAAAGCGATGTATTAACTTTCTCCATTTCTAATCAGCCTCTCCCCTCTGCAACTCGTCTCAATTTTAAGCAAGAGACGCAACAGCCAGGATAATCGCAGAAAGCATCTTGCACCCAAAGACAACGCGTGGACGAGTCACTTCACGGTCAAAACTTAAAAACTGCAGTTTCTCATAAAATTGGCAAGCCAAGAGCACATCTATCAAACGCAAAATATATAGAGGAATTAAGATGGGTGGTAATTGCAGTGCTCTAATAAATGACACCTGAAAAGATAGTTCTTCCTCGTAGATAAAAATTACACTGAAGCAAGGGGGAAAAAAAAAACTATGGCAGACACACTATACCTTAGAACAGTAGTGCCTATTCAAAACAAACCAAAACCTAGGCACACAATCACCGTTACTATATCTCCAAGAACAGGTGAGAACCGTCACACAGAAGTAGACTCGACAGACAGACATAATCCAACTGACAGGAAGTCGCCCATTAGAAATATAGCTACATGAACTGGAATCACAACCCTTTAGGCGGAAGGACCATACCTTGCATTCCAGCCAAACATATCAGAGAAGTCAGACACGCATAACTAGAATGGATCCAAAAGTAAGCCACGCAAGTAACAGAGCGCTGAAATTTACAGCACATCATCACCTGCCAAAGGAAAGCCACGTGTTGCACTATCATTAGAGGTGCCATGATTACTGATGCTAAATATCTATTTATAACGCATAGAAGCAGCCAGAATATAAGCAGCTTGAAATCATAAGAAAGCAAAGACACCAAAAAAGAGCCCCTAGAAACTTCCTAGGTAGAAAAGCCGATAAGGCTATCCCAGCAAGTAAAGACGATAATCTCCATCCTGCAATACAGATAGCAATCAGCGTACTAGCAGTCTTAACAAGAGAGCACTCTTTTAGTGAAAATGACAAATATATGTTGGACCTGACCTTGCACACTCCAATCAGCTTCGGTATTTCTGAGGAAATGATTAAAACTAACATTCAAGGATATTCAGTTTCCGATTCTTGGTTTATCTTCTATGCCTGATCCCAACGACAGCTGCAAAGCTGACATGAGAATCTCGGAAGCTAAAAAAGTTTGCCCTTCTCCGGCAGACCACCAAAGCTCTACATGAACTACATTCTGTAGAAGTATTTAATTCATTTAGACATCGCAATATAAAAAACATTAGCATTTATCAAATCTCATATATCTTCTAACATAACATATTTGACAGGTACCAATTGATTCAAACTATGATATAGACAATAAATGTGATCCCCACACATTTCTGTTCAAACAATCATCAATTTAGTTTGCAGCTCATTTTCGACATAAAATCTAAACGGTTTTTGAGATTTACTAAGATCTAGGGGTTGTTCTTTAAACAACAGTTTGGTTTGACTTAAAGCTCGCTATCTATCCTCATTAGCTATTCCACCTACTTAATGCAGCTTTCAAAACCATTCTTTACAACGAAGATCAGAAGCTTGGATGCAAAATTTTGATTTAAGAAGAGTAGTGCAAGGCAATTTTCTAGAAAAACCATTAAACAAAAATTCCAACAGATACATGCATACAAGTCTCAAGCCACATTTCAATTTATTCTACTTTATTTGTAGAATTAATATTCATAAATTACTTATTTTATTACTTTTAGGATCTATGATGCACTTTTAGACTGATAAGTAAATTGATGGAATTTGAAAGTAATCTTCAAGCCCTCAGATGAGCTAAGTTTCCAGTTTTTAGTAACCTCTTTCCAAAAAGCACTTTTACACACTTACTGTCTGTTTCCTTTAATTCCAATGGTTATACTCTCATTTTAAAGAAAGACAGAAAGGCAAGTCCACTTACTCTTTTTGAAAAATGACTAATCTTACGTGTATCAAAAACTAAAATGGCTACCATATCGTCAATCTCAGGGTCCCTTGGGACTGTAAAGACTAATGTATCTTTTTAAATGGCATAAGTCAGTTTAGAGTCATCATTACAAAGGTGATTATGAATTAATTAATTTATCAAAAAGGGGGAGAGAGTAAAAGCCATCCAAAAGTGGCTAGCAAATTTGGAAAATCATTAATGTAAAGCTTAACTAGTATTGCAGTGAGACAGCTCATTGATGATACGATAAAAGAATCATTGCTGCAGAGAGAGAAGGATGACAACTATGAACTACCATTGTTCAAATCTATTTAGCAGTACAAAGTTTCACACCACAATGAACAGAGTGTTACCAGAACCTACACGTAACTAAGTAAGACAAAATAACAAAGCTCTGAGAGTGTTATCAGGACCTACACGTAACTAAATAAGACCAAAAAACAAAGCTCTGCATGAATGCTAGTTTCAACCATATAATGAAAAATCAAATTTACTTCTCCCACCCACAACGTAAACAGGCAAAAAAGACTAAGAAGGCAACAATCTTAGTACCAATACCTATAGAGTGGAACTAGCTATAACTCGTCACACATTATTTGAAGGCCTACCAAGGGGAGATGGCACGAAGAAAAGTAGAGGGAAGGGTGAATGTATTGACCTCTAGAAAGTATCACGGAAATCAGGGTTGTGTCAAATGTCACGGGAAAATTTACCAGTTGCGTATTTTCCCAGTTGCGTTCAAGGTTGGCAAGTGGAGAATAATCAGTTTCCCTTAATTGTTTCTCTAAAAGCTCTCAATATTAGTAGAAAACTTACATATCTTTTCACCTGATATGGTAATTAATATTTAGCCATAACAAAGGACCACAACTTGAAGAGATACAAAAACTATTAGCTTTTCTCTTTTAGCAAGTAAGATGTTCACCGAAATCTTATCCTGCAGTCTTAGAAGGTGCAGTAAATGTGATTTACTTAGTAGCACATTTTCTAACGAACAAAATTCCATTTTTTACTACAGCCTTTAGATAGGCTAGTTGTGCTTAGTGAAGCATCATGCAGAAAAGATTGAAAAGATCAGCTATTACTCCAATTACGATCTAAGCTGAAAAGAGACGGAATCTGTATTACTGCACTACGATGTTATAGTAAATTTTGGATCCCCTTCTCCATAGCTCAGTTTGTTATGCCTCAAACAGCATGTGTGCTTTGACATTTGATGCAGAAAATAACACCAATTAATATGCATAAATTTTGGATGCAGCCCCTAGCATTAAATGGTCATTTTGGAATAAGTATAACAGAAGAACTCTGAAGAAGGCATGCCAGGACTAACTAGGTAACATTAGTTGTTCTGCCATCGTTAATATGGTAAACTTTAGTTGGTCTATTACAGATTTTATGGCTTGAGTAAGCTTGTAGCCTGATTTGCTTACCAGCCTTGAAATCTTTCTGCAAATGTGACATTCTAAAACATTCGAAAGGGAGCATTGTCAAGTATATGGACAACGGCTCTGACACATAATCTATACATGTAACAGTGCAGACAATGACTAAAAAGATTTAATAGAATCTCAGAGACTACTTCCCACCATTAGAATAGCACTACTAAAGTCACTAAATCCTGGCTCAAGTGACTATCACTTTGATTTGCTTATCATTGCTTTTCAATCCATTTTTCCTTGTCTTTTTCTTTCTTTTTTCCCCCTTATTCCTGACTGCTTAGCACCAGTCCAGCTCCCAAAAAAAAATCGTATAAACTTGTCGACAACTAAAAAAATCGTATAAACACGGATAGCGAACAGAACATGTACCATATGCAGAGTACTACACTCTAAATATCATAATATTACCTGAAAATCAAGTTAGTAATTTAAAAGAGTGTCATAAGATTCATATGTAACCAACTCTTTAAGCTCTACATGGAAATTATGGTAATATCCTCAGATAGAAACACTAGCCATCCAATAAACATGACAACATCAGAGTCTAGTGAAAGTCTGAGACAGAAAATAAAGAAAAACATAAGCTAAGGGCCATTTAAACTCCAGCATCCAACCCTTGAAAAATGAGAACCCACCCGATTCAAGCTGAACCCAGGAAAACCACCCATCTGGAGTCTGTACTAACTTACACAATCTGAGTGCCTACAATAGAAGCAACATTTTGTGAAAACCAAAATAATACAAAGATATTCAAAACTCAGTAGACTTTAGTCACCATTGCGGTGGTTCTCAGATTGCAGTTGCCATAAACTTCTACATATGAGAGTGTAGAACAGATCACCTGTCACCTTATACCTCATCATTTTCAACGGTACCCACCAGCCAACCTTGCAGCCGGGTGACGAGCAAATTGCAATATCAAACGGACAGAAAGAGGATCAAGCTCATCAAATTTGTAACCTGCAAATAATATTTGACTACTTCACAATTCATATCTAAAATTAGTTCAACTGACAGGCTCATAGACATCAACAAATCTCAAAATCCAGCTATTACCCCATCATATATACTCAATGCTCTCCAATGAAAACGCCCATATGTTACACTACCTAGTTTGGAAAACCAGCATGAGTACATATTTGGAGGTCAACCAAGAGGCATGTAAAATCCTGTCTAAATTCCATCCATTTTCTAGACGGCAACTGGTTTTATGCCGTCGGAGGTGTAACTTAAAAGTCGCAATATTCCTCTAACAAAGAGCACACTAACCCGATCACTGACATGATACATAATCATCTTCTTTCATATATGTCATGAAAAACAAAGATAGTAAGACGACCCTCACAACCACCAAATAAAGCATCCATTGCTATATAAGAGTGTGATTATCATCTCACCTTGCAAAGCATCCTTAACAACAGCTGCATGAGCGGGACTAACAAAATCCACAAAACAAAGTACTGATGGATCACCACCATGCTGCACGAGTTGCAAGGCGGTGATTTTACCAATAAATTAAGCAATAAATCACAAACATAAATCCAAGCAAAGGCTTACATATTTTGGCTCTTTCCTTATAAGTCTCAATTCTTGATAGCCTTCAAAGCAGCGAAACAGATCTGCAGAAAATGGAGTAAAGGAAACAACAGAGGAACTATAGGAGTAAAACCACTAGTTTGCATGTCGCAGAAGGATACGAGCAACTTCCCGCCGTCTACAGTCTGAAGGCAAACCCAGCACAAACAATGTCCTGGAAGCATCAGATGGAACAGAATTTGTTGGTATTCCACCCTGCAAAGTCATGCTTTGGCTATCCTTTCTTCTTGCTGGATTGGATCCCATAACACTGAGTTGAGCTGGATTGGATCCCATAAAACTGAGTTGAGCTGGATTGGATCCCGTAACACTGAGATCAACATGATGATCTTTAAATCCGCCATCCACAGACCGGGCAGATGTTCCCCCAATATGAGGCGACATTTTCTGTTCAATTGCAATAGTATGTCAGAGATACACAACACCCCTAAACAGAGAAAGAAAAGAAAAAGGGTAACTAATTTGAGACCCCAAGTCTAGATTTTTAATAAGAACTGATTACCGAGCACTGGAGGTAAAAATCGTAGGATGCTCCAATGGGGTCAGTGTCTACAATTACACGGGTTTCTCCTCTTCCATCCCCACGAGCATAAAAACTTGAGAAACTAAGGCTGCTAGGGTCATCTGTGACGTGGCAGAAAATAGAAGTCCATATTATCCCGATTCACAAACCGACAAAATGATGGATATAGATTTAAGAAATGGAAATGCGAGTCAGGATTAGAAGGACAATAAATGATCTCGGCTATTTAAAATATACAATAGATACACCATCACCATACCTAACAAATAAAATTTGAGAACCACTATCATAGCTATCATCATTCTTGCCCTTTTCTTTCCACACCCAAAAACAGAAAAGGGCAACAGAGTCATATCAGTCACCTCATTTCTTATGCTTCAATTTTAACGCTATTATTATCTAAGAAACCACGCAAATTTGTATTTATTTCTCCTGCGGTATGGTATGGTTTTTCATACCATCCAACAAACACACATTTCCAAATCCTAAGCTTTTCACCGCACCCTTACAAAGACACGTACCACAACATTCTTGTTCTTTCAAAGAGCAATTTAGCACCAGAAAAGCATAAATTTCTAGCTGTGTGGGTGAGAGAGAAAGAGATAGGTATCTGTCCAGACCAACAAATAAACGAGACCTCCAATAAAGCTCTCCCCCACCAAGAAGAAGCACATCTCCGTAAAACCCATAGGTCAGGTTTGTAATAGCAAATCGACATACAGAAAATATAAGGGCGTGAAAAGCTAGGGGTATTCTGACCCCAGGTAAACAAGGCATCCAGATGAGCTATTTCTCCCCAAAATGAAACGATAGTCACTTTAAACCTAGCTCTCTAGCAATGTAGAAAACCAACGAAAGCGAAATTGAAAGCACAGAGATAAAAAGCGAGAGACGGGAATTAAAGTTGGTACCAAAGTCAGCTCGACGACGTTTAGCGGCAGCCACGGGAGGAGCCTCCGCAATCCCCTTTCCAGAAGCATTATACTTGTTGTAAGCCACTGCCGTCTCCGAAGGAGCCTCTGCGATCCTATTTCCAGAAGCATTGTACTTGTTGTAAGCCACTACCGTCTCCGAAGGAGCCTCCTCCGCGATCCTCTTTCCATAAACATCGTAATTGTTGGGAGCCACCGCCATCTCTCTACTGCTGTGAGGCCCAGCCATCTCTGATCTCTCGCTACTAGCCAAGACAGTGATCTGAGTCGGTGGAATTTATATCCAGGAGCAACAAAGAGCCTCTCGGTTTCTTCGTTTTCCTTTTCTACTTTTTTGGTGTGTTTTTTCAGGTACTCCGTCTGTCCATCTCTTTTCTTTTCTTTTCTTTTTTTCCTAATCCTATAATCCTCTCATTTTTTTTTAAAAAAAAAAAATTGGTTTATATTGTATTGCTCACTCGATTGTAGGGCTGTCAACGGGCCGGGTCCGGGCCGGAATTCATTATTCCGGACCCGGACCCGAATTACTATGCCGGATCCGGATCCGACCCGTTTACCCGACGGGTCTTTTATTCTATGTTCCGGATCCGGATCCGGGTCTACCCGAACAAATTTACCAAATTTTATAATTTCTAATAAAAATGAGAAAAAAATATATTTGTAAACTAATTTCTAACTAATGCAAAGAAAAAATCAAATAAGAAAAGAAATCAAAATTAACTTTATTAAAATACATCACCCTAATCAAATTATATTGATAAATATATATTTTTTAAATTATTAATTCATTTATATCCGGATCCGGGTCTAATACGGGTCGGAATACTATATTCCGTATCCGACCCGTTTTTGTTTGACAAAACGGATCCGGATCCGGATCCGGGAAACGGAATTAAATCCCTACCCATACCCGCAATAATTTCACGGATCCGGTCCGGATCTGGGTCTAGACCCGACCCGTTGACAGGCCTACTCGATTGGCATTGCTGTTTTAAATTTAGAATTTTACTCCGTAAATTAAATTAAATTAAATTATTTGCACTCCAAGGCTGATCACACGAGTGATGAATTAAACTTCCTTTAAGGTACAACTAACAAGCTTTTCAAAATTTAAAAGCTTGAAATTTTGAAAATTGAAATTGCTTTGAATTAGTATGTATGTATGTTAGGGTGCATCCAATAAAATTGAAATTTAAAAATTTAAATTCATTAAATTACTACGAAATTGTTTGTTAAGTACTCGTTTAAATAAAAAACAATTGCAATTCAAACAGAACCTAAGGTGGCGTTTGGTTCGCACATCGGTATTGGATTCGGATTCGGAATCGGATATCTTGGGTTTGGAATGAGGTCATTCATTCCAACATATTTGTTTGGTTCAAGTACCTAGAATGTGTATCATTACTATAGTTGATGTTTGGTTCGTCGACTCTTTCGGAATGGAATATAAAAAATATATTATAAACTCCATCGTAAATGATAGTTATTGGTTCTTTGTAAATGGGATATAAGAAATCTTCACTAATTAAATATATTAGTATAAATGTATTAGTAAATTTAGTCTAACAATTAATAATTTCTATTAGTAAACATGTATAATTATTAGTATAATGGATAATATTAATTATATTACATAAATTAATATACATTATATAATACATATAAATAATAATAATATTATTATAAGTTTGTAACTAATTAAATTAAATATTATATATATAATTAAATATAAATATACAAATGTTATAATATAAATATATAATTATATAATATATACAAATATTAATTATAATAATATTTTATATAAATATAATATATATTACATATTAAATATAGTTATTATTGTATATTATTATATTTAAAATAATAATTATTATAATTATATAACTTATTAATATTACATACATGTATATATTATAATTATATGCACATGTAATATACATTTATAAATATACATATATATTATAAATATAATATTATATAATATTAATAAATTTATAATATATATTATATAAGTATAATTATATTTAACTAAATAATTATAATATATAATTATATAATACAATAACATCATTATTATAAGTTTGTAACTAATTAAATTAAATATTATATATATAATTAATTATAATTATACAAACGCTATAAAATAAATACATAATTATAATTATATAATATATAAATATTAATTGTACTCATATTTTATACAAGTATAATGCATATTAATATTAGATATAGTAATTATTATATATTATTGTATTTAAAATAATAAATATAATTATAATTATAATTATATAATTTATTAATATTATATACATGTGTATATTATAATCATGTGCACATATAATATGCATTTATAAATATACATATATATTATAAATATATTATTATATAATATTAATAAATTTATAATATATATTATATGAATATAATTATATTTAACTAAATAATTATAATATATATTTATATAATGTACTAATATTATAATTATAATATATATTTATATAATGTACTAATATTATAATTATAATATATATTTATATAATGTACTAATATTATAATTATAATATATATTTATATAATGTACTAATATTATAATTATAATATATTATATATATGTATATATTATAATATATAATATATATAATATATATAAATATTATAATTATAATATATTATATATATGTATATATTATAATATATAATAAATATATTAAATATAAATATTAATTATATCATTGTATAATTATAATATGTAATTGGATTTGTTTCTTGGAATCAAACTTGGGAATCGGACAAAACCCACCAAAATACTTGGGAATGGAGAAACACCAAATTTTTAGAAATCATTCCAAGATTTCAATTCCCATTCCAGTGAACCAAACACCATTTATGGGGTTCATTCCATTCCCCGAATCCGATACCCTCTTACCAAACGCCCCCTAAGTTTATAAATTGACAAAACTACCCACATACATACATACTAAACACACGAGAGGACAAAATTATCCGAATTTCCTTTCTATTCTCCTTCTCCAATGCATACAAAAATCGATTGTTGTGAAAAATATGAGTGGCAAGTGCATTCGCCCATGGTATGCAAGTAAGTAAACAGTTGGTGGAGATGGAATTCCAGTTCATTGGAGGGTGCAAAAATTGAGTTAAACATCACTTTTCAACGTAAAACTTATTGTTAATCACATTGCACTGGAGTAGCTTCACCGATCTCTATCTTTTCATATAGCAGTATTATAGGACTCTTCACGCTTCATCAGTCTCGCCTTGGAATTTCGTTTTCTCAGAGTCCTCTGTTCCAATCCTATCAACTAATCCTGTCCCTGTTTAGTTGTCTGTTATATGTACTGGCTTCGCTTCCTACGGGCATAATTAAATAATGGCGTCTTCTCCTTGTTTTCAAACTGATTTCTGAGCATCAATCTTCTTTTTTTTTTTTTTTTGTGATTCAAATTAATCAAACAATAGCAGCAGAGAAGTAGGTTAGCACTTTTCCGGATCAAATTGCAGCAGTATGTTTCCTTCTACCAATTGAATTTGATGTAAATATTGCAGGTCAAATGGCAGGCCTCGCAGTCACGGGTAATCCCTTTTCGTTACAGCTGCTGCAGAGAGTGCTGTACACCTGTGGCTCTTCGCGATGATCTTCTCTCTAAGAATTTTCGGGTGACTACACATATATACATTCTGAAACCTGCAATTGAATCATCTTTTCTATACGTCGTTTTTTTCTTAATTACCGTACTTGATATCGTCATCTGAAGAAACACTTTCTAGCTCTTCATCATCATCTAGTCTCTCTCTCTCTCTCTTTTTGGGCGCGCACGCGCACGCACACACACACATATACATATACATATATATATATGATAACACCTGACGACTCTTAGCTAAGATAAAGCAATGTGTTGTCAAAATGTGCGGTTGATTGCAATCTTTGCAGCATTTCTGCTTGCATGCTACTTGTTGCAGGTCTGGCATAAGGAATATACTTGGCATTCGTTGCACAATTCCTGGACATTCGTAGGAGTTTCATGAGTTAAGGCTACAAGAATTTTCCTATACAAATCAAAGGAAGAGGACCCGTTATCATGATTCACAGACACAAGTTGCTATTACAGACTGTTGCCCCATTATGTTCTTCTTTTTAATTTCTAGTGGATTGGAATTTGGAGTTGGATGGTTTTTGGTAATAGAGTTGTCCCCAAAAATAAAAAAAAATAAAAATTAAAAGCATGGTAATTAACCCGATGGCAGAAAATATATTACTAATAATGTACTTGTGTTATTTCCTTCTCTGGTCTAAATCCTAAAGTAGTTAGCATTGCTGTTGTCATTGCTTCATCATTTTTTTTTCCCTGTAAGATCCCACGACCCGAGAAAACCCAATAGGGAGAAAGGAAAGAAATTCAGCAGGAGAATTTGATAGAAGTTGAAACTTATAGTTTCAGTGCCAAACCATTTAACATGCGGTTGAATCTGTTGGTTTGGACTTTGGAACCTCTGCAGCTTCAGTTTTCAAGATTGTTACGTTTGATTGCTAGGCAAAATCTGGGGCAGCATACGCAATGAACATTGTGTTGGGGCAGAAGGAAGAAAGACAGTTCCTGAGTGGATATTTTGTGGTTGCTGACGTCTACTGCAGCAGCTGTTTCGCGTCTTTGGGATGGAAATACATTCGAGCTTATGATGCCAGAGAGAAGTACAAGGAAGGGAGGTTTGTAATTGAGGAGGCAAAGATTTTGAAAGAATACTACTGAAATTGCAGGCAGCGAATGCGTTGGGTGGTGTCACATGTAAACTCGTTGCGTTTTAATGCTGGCAAATCCCTGAACCTGTGGATAAAGGATAAGTCGTGGTCTTGAAAGACTCTGCTGTGCTAAATCTCCTCTCCTTGAGTGTGTGTGTGTGAGAGTGTGTGGGGTCAAATACATTGGATACAAGAATGTGGCTACTATTTATAGTTGTGCATGCTATTTTTATGTTTGTGAGTACTTTCAAATCCAAGGTTTATGAATTCAACTCAAATGAAGGCCATCTGATTTTAATTTGGTTGCAGATTCTAGAATTCGTTGAACTTAAGGAGTGAAATAGCAGTTAAAATGGAACAGTTAGTAGTGAAAATAAGCAGAAGCACCATTTGGTTAGATTAACTTCTGCTGAGTTTGTTTTTGTATCTCATATCAAGCTTGAGTATTATGAAAAAATCTCTTCTTTTGATGGTTATAAATATACTCCCTCCGTCCCACTTTGATAGTCCTGTTTCTTTTTTCACACAGTTTAAGAAAAAGTAGTTAACTTTGTTGGAAAAGTAAATTTAGATTGCTATTTTCCTAAAATACCCTCATATTAAATAGAGTACAACTTTACGGGAACTTGAATTGATGGTAAAAAAAGAATCAACTCTCATTAAATAGGGTAGGTTTATAGTAACAACAACTTACATTGAATAAGGGCACTTTAGAAAAATTAAAATACAACTACATTCTTCAATTGAAAAATGGACTACAATTTGGGACAGACGAAAAAGGAAAACAGGACTATCAAAAGTGGGACGGAGGGAGCAATAGATTTAAATGAGTTTTAGAGAGTTCATGTCCCGATTTACAAAAAAGTGTGATTAGACATCAAATTAAAACAGCAAATCAATGGACCTCTGGGGAGCAAATTAGTGGACCTTTGGGAAGCAAGTTAGTTGGGTATTTTGTAACTATTTAAACTTTTTTCAGTTTTCTATTTTAGGTGCCTCGGAATCATTTATGGTGGGATCAGACCTAACAACTTTCGCATTCCAATTCTAAAACTTTCCAATTGGAAAGAGTGAAAGTGGATTCGTTTCCATTACTTGATAAATAAGACTCTTCAAAGTTTCTAAGGACCACATGCAGCTTGTGGGGAAGTTATAAAAAGATGGCCTTGGCTTTGTCATTTCATTTGTGTTGCACAATCGGTATCTCCTATTTTCTCATTTAATATATTTATTTATAAGTAATGATGCGCTGAACTCATTGTTTGGATAGAATATATTATTTGAAATAATTATTATAATATTTTTATGATATAATATATATGTAAGATAAAAATAAATTAAAAAAATATTTATGATATAAACGAAATATTAGTAAAAAAAATTAGATATCCCATTAATGGTACTCTTGAAATTGTCCTCCCCTGCCCATTCACTGCTCACTCAGTGCCGGCAGTAGTCCCTTTGTATATCCCCCGACAGCCCCACTTTTCTCTCCATCCGACCTCAAGGATGCCAACCGTCAACCCAAAGGCAGAGTGGCCAGGCAGGTTACTGCAATTGTATAATTATTAATCATTTTTTTAAAAACGCTATTACAGCTTTAATTCTGCCCTCGAATTCAACCTTTGTCCATCTCTGATTATGACAATGGTTGGTGAGCTGAAGTTAAGAATATACACTATATATATATAGGGGGTTTCTCAAAAGTCACCGTTGCTTCTTTTTTCAAACCGTCACAACTAAACACTACTGTTTCGCACCATCACTATTCTTGTACTCTTGCTTGGGTGGCGGAGTAGATATTTCCACACGCTTCTTTATTACTATATATAAAATGAGGTCTTTACTGGTGTTTACTTATAAAACCAATCCTGTCTTTGTCAAACCCAACTTCCTTTTTCATCATTTCATTCCAGTGTTGGTGCGTGTGTGCGCGCGCGTGTATATATATATATATATATATATATATTGGCAAGGTCCTGTAAGTGTCGTAATATCATCTTCTACGTCAACAAGCTCTGTTGTTCTCCTCTTTTTTTTTTTCCTTTGGCTTTTTTGGCTGCAGACTTCTGGGTCATCCTCCTTGAGTCATTTGAAGGTAAAGAACATTGTGGTTTTTTCTCCCTTTTGGCTTGTGCAGCCATCAATGTGCTGCTGAAAGTTTATCTATATATATATCTTCATTGGTTTCTGCATCATGCGTTTTGAATCTGTCGAGTCTTGGTTTTTAAGCAGGGTGAGGTGTTGTGCCCCAGAACTTTTGATTGATGGGTGAATTGGTTGGACCTCGCCTGTATAGCTGCTATAAATGCAAGAATCATGTTTCGCTTCATGATGATATAATTTCCAAGGAGTTTCAGGTAACGCATTGATCCAATCGTACCCTCTAAATTACTTCCCTAATTCTTAATGGGATGGATGATTTGTTTAGTTCTTTGTTATCATGGTCATCTAATTGGGGAGAGTTTTTAGTTGGGAATACATAATGATGGTAGTTAAAATTTATGGTTTTCGGTTCTTTGAAAATTAGTATGGCACGGCCGGTTCGGTTGTCCGGAAGCAAATTTTGGTCACTGCTACCGTCAAACGACAAAAATCGGGTTATTTTCCTCTAGGCGCTGTAAAACCTTGTAGATATTAAGGGGAAAAAAATATAAAGAATTCCTTGTTCGCTTGTGTACGAAGACGAGGATATATGATGACCCTAGTAGTGAAGATAAGTGGTATAAAAGATTGTTGAAATTTTATGTGTTGTTAATTCTACTTGGAGGTCAAATGTTGTGTTTTGTTAAGAATGACTATCAATTTCAATTCAAAGCAAGCCAATTTCTTGAGACTGCAATGATCATGAATATAGTTTGGGCATCAGTGGCTTAGATTCATTGCGATGCAATTTTTAGGGAAGAAATGGGCGAGCCTTTTTGTTCTCTCATGTGATGAACATTGTTTTGGGAGTTAAAGAAGACAGACAGCTCATGACTGGTCTACACACAGTTGCCGACATACATTGTGGTGATTGTCATGAGCTATTAGGGTGGAAGTATGAGCGAGCTTACGACTCAACACAGAAGTACAAGGAGGGAAAGTTCATTCTGGAGAAGTCTAAAATTGTAAAAGAGAATTGGTAGCACCGTAAGATGATCTTGCTTAGTTTTATTTTCAACGCCAAAAGGAATTGTTGATTCTTTGTGATGTTGAAGAAAAGTTCAGAAGTTGATACTTGTCAGCATCTGAATCTGAGAATTGCTACTTCTTTTGTGTCTTGGAATTCATTGAACATGTAATACCCTTGTCTCAAAAGCCTATATTTGTTGTTTCAGATCTCTTGCTTAATACTTACCCTCGTATTGCATTACTGTATCTGTGAAATTTGAACTGTAATGACCACCCCAAAGTTCTGGAAGCATTTACGGGTAATATGATGCTATGTGAGGGGTTGGTGTTGCAGGTATTTGTAGAGTTCTCATTCATGCTTGTATCAATTCTAATCAATGTCAGCCAGCTTATGTGCATATTGCAGCCTAAAAGGTGGCAGATGTAACCATTAGCAACTAATCAACATAATTTGTAGTATACTTTATCGTGTTAGAAAGAAGGGGAACTGGAACTTGACTGCATCTTTTGCACTCTGAATCTGAATTAGGCTTTAAGTCAAGAATTTGAGCATTATGGTTTAGCTATTAAACACTAGTCGCACTTATAGATGATGAAAAATGTTTCTTCTACCTGAGTACGTTGCAGGAGTTTGTGTGACTAATTAATGGATTCAAATGCTTGCACTCAGAAGTGATCGTGAAAATGGTTTCTGCTACATGAATACAATGCAGGAGTTTGTGTGTCTAACTAATAGATTCAGGTGCTTGCACTCGGAAGTGATCATGAAAATGGTTTCTGCTACATGAATACAATGCAGGAGTTTCTGGTGGCTAGCTACTGGATTCAGGTGCATGTTAGATGCCCGATATGAGTGAGAAAATATCACTCTCTCTTTTATTATGACATGCATCCAACTAGTTGATATACATTGGTCCAATCTAATGGCATTACTGAGATGGGAGACTTTTATACTTCGAGTTTAAAAGGATAATTTTTTGGAAAGAGAGGCAAATTAACAAGTAAGATTTCGTGTTACATTCGATGATTCCCATCTTTCCCAAAATTTAAGATTTTGTCATCGAAAAGTACCCTAAACATAAAGGGACATTGGTGTTACAAACTGGAAAAGAAGTAGTAACCAAAAAAAAAAATGGTAGGAGTAACCATATATGGTACGAGTATAATACACGATATTGTATGTACATGTATAAAAAAAGGATTAATCTTTCCTACACTGACAATGTATACACTATCAGTGTTGGATAAATGACAACTATGCAAAATTTGAATTTGAAATTCAACTTTTGCACACGTGTCATGAATTCAACGATGGTTAAATAACATAAAACAAACGATTTTTGATTCATTAGTTTCATTCATTAATAATATAAGCAAAAATCGTCGAATTTGCAATTTTGGAGCAAAATTAAAAAAGAATCATGGTTGTTTTATTAAGGTATGAGGGGCAAAATAGGTATTTTAGATCAAAATTTGCCTTAAAAAACTATTTGTTAGAAAAATCACGCACAGTTCTAGTGCGTTTACATCAAACGTGTTAAATTTAACGATTTTCGTTGATTTTTCACTTTACTTTAAATCATAAAGTACTGTTGTGTATGATTTGAAATCACAAAAGATTTTTCTGTAGGATAGCTATACTATAAGGAGTTTTTTGGATTTTGCCCATAAAAAAACCATTTTTGGTACAAAAATGGGTTTCAAAAGCACGAATAACAGTTTTGGTACAAAAATACATGTTTGGTAAAATTAGGTATATAAATTTGTAAGTGAATAGTATGAATATATTTGAAAATTACAGAACTATAATATGTGCTATATTTATACCAATTTTAAATCATATTTTTGTGTAAAGGCCATTAAATTTATTACTTTTATGTGTATAAATCTATAGAATTATGTTATATGTCACTGTTATTTTGTATATAACTAAGAAGATAAATCATTATCCTTGCTCAAATTTTTAAATTTTTTTTAAATTGAAGTATAATTCATAAAATATAATATGTCAAAAAAATTTTATGTATTATATACAATTAATTAAAAGGTATGAATATTTTTTAGAGTAATTTTAAAGTATACAAAATATAAAAGTTTTTTGAATTATATGCTTATGTGTATTATCTATACTATATATAAAGTTTCAGGAGAGGTATGGGATTAACATTTATTATCATTTTATGAAGTTCTCTTCTTACTCTTATAAAAACTACTTTCACTTTAACTACCTATAACTACCCATGACTATTTTTACTTTTAACTATTTAAATATATGTTTTCAACATAACTACCTCTAAATATTATAACTACAAATATAAAATTATTTTATAAAAATATTTAAAAATTTAAAATTTGCTTCAATAATAAAAATTTTATTTAAAATATATGAACATAAAAATTATGTATTTTTTTTTATTACACACATATTAGGCATGCATTGAGCACCAGTATGGATAATATCCTAAGAAGTATAAAAAGGGGAGTTGGCTGATATCTCATAAGGAGTGATGGTCCCGTATGAGCACCATCAGTAGGTGGTTAATTATGGAATTTCACTTTGATGTTTGGGTGTTGGACAGATACGATGGTGTTGTTAGCTTACGTGGAAGCAATTGCGAGTTTCTGAAGTTGCATGGCTTGCATGTTTCTGTTAGAAACGGTGCGCAGGTCCACTAACCAGGCTTCAAGGTGTAAGTCTGTTGTAGACATTTAACCATGAAATTTCACTTTGATGTTTGGGTGTTAGACAGATACGATGGTGTTGTTAGCTTACGTGGAAGCATTTGGGAGTTTCTGAAGTTGCATGTCTTGCATGTGTCTGTTTAAAACGGTGCGAACGTCCACTAACGAGGTCTCAAGCTGCAAGTCTGTTCTAGACATTTGTCGGTTCATATATATAAAGTGCAAGATTGTTCGCTTTTGCAGTCTTCTTGCTTAGTTCTTTTGTCGAAGCTTTGAAGTTACTGGTGAGTTCCTTCTTATTCATTTTTGTCACGATTCCATGTCTTTTCTTGCATGCATGAAGTTTTGGCAGTTCATATATACATATAAGTACAAAATTGTTCTGTTTTGTAGTTTTCTTGTTCATTTCTTTTGTGGTAGCTTTCAAACTAGCCGTCAGTTCCTTTTGATTCCTTTTTGTCATGATTTTATCTTTTTTGTTGCATGCATGAAGCTGTAAGTACAGAAACAAAAAATCATCCAAAGTCTCCAAATAAGATCAAGTATATACATGTTGTATTCTGGAAGTTTGATTTCTATGTGGTCTAGAAGTTTGATTTCCATAAAATGACTTGTTCAAAAGTGCAGAAACAGAAAACGATTCTAAGTCTACAAATAAGTTCAAGTATATACATATTGTATTCTGGAAGTTTGATTTCTATGTGGTCTGGAAGTTTGATTCCTATAAAATGACTTGCTCATCTCTCGTTTCTATGTTTTTTTATCTATGTCTGAAATTGCAGCTAGCTGTTTAAGTCTCCTGCTGGTGCAAATTGTTCAAGGATCATTATCAATGGCTGATCGGTTAGTTTTGCTTTGTTATCTGAGTTCTTGTGTTTGATGTATTAAAGCTTTTGACTTATATCTTTGGTTAGGATCAGTTTTGATTATTTCTATCTGTATGCTTATTTGTATGAATAATTTTACATTTTCTTAGACTGGAGCTCAATAAATTTCTTGCATAAGTATATTTATTATTATCGTTTAACAAATAAACAATGCCACCAAAAAGAAAATATGCTACTCTTCAAGAACGATACCAGGAAAGAAATAGGAGACGGCGAGAGCGTCGTGCTATTGATAGGTCAGAAGCAGGTGGGAATTCTAGCACAGGCACTTCCACTATAGCATTAACGGCAATCCAAATCTGTCCTCAGTATATTGAATCGGTAACTGGTGTTTCGGAACAACCAGGAAAATCTAATCAGCAAAAGAGAAGAAAGCGTGATTCTTCAAGTTCAAAAGCTGCTATGATTAATCTAGATCAGAATTGTGATACTATTTTGACTTCTACAGAGTCAGAATCAATACCTGTTGAATATATTCGATCAACATCTGGTATTCTACAAGGAGCTGATAATGTCTTAACTTCTGGCAAGTTAGAATCCTTCCAAGGTACACAGAATTCTCAAACAGCAAATGTTATTCACGCCTCTGGTATTGACATTCCTTCAACCAGTGCGGGGATAAACAATGATAGTTATCAAATTGCTTCAAGTAGTACAGCAATAAACAATGCCACTCTTGGATCTCAAAAACCTGCCCGGCGATCTCAACAATGTCGTCAAAGACAAAAAAGAGATATTCTGCGAGACATTGCTACAGAATCAATGACATTACCAGAAGCTCCTTCTTGTAAACTCTGTGGAGCAAAAAAATTTCACTTAGAGCCTCCTGGTTTTTGTTGCTCATCAGGTGAAATTCGACTCCTTGAAACTGAGATGCCTCGAGAATTGATGTTACTATATCTCAGTGACAATGATGAGGCTACAGACTTTCGCAATTGTATACGAAGCTATAATAATATGTTTGCTTTCACTTCAATAGGAATGCACTGTGATAAGGAATTAGGGAAAAAGTACAATGGTATATATACCTTTCGAGTGCAGGGTCAGATGTATCATTTTATAAATCCATTAGTTCCTGCTGATGGTCAAAAGCCAGTAAATTTGCAGTTATATTTCTATGATACTGAGCATGAAGTAGAAAATCGTCTGTCCATATCAAACAAGTTCATAGAAAATTTGATAGCAATGTTGGTTGATCTATTGAAAGTAAATCCGTACTCATCATTTTTCCGTGGATTACAACACTTGCCTGATCTAGATGAATACAAAATAATGTTGCAATCAAATCCAACAGTTGATCAGCACGTTTACAACAAGCCAACAGTTTCACAAGTTGGTGCTCTTTGGACAGAGTCACAGACTTCTGATCAAACGAATAGCAAACACATTCAAGTATATTCAAAAAGTGGGAATGCTCAGATTGTGAAACACTATTATGGCTGCTATGATTCAATGCAATATCCATTTATATTTCCTAATGGAGAACCAGGATGGCATCCAGGCATAGAAAAACTTTCAAGTCTACAAAATAATGCTGCTTCAGGTCAAACCTGTCCAGGAGAAAGAACAATTCCAGTAGATATGTTCATGACTGCAGAAGATGTTATACATGCTGAAAATCAAGGTATCATTAATCATATATATTAACAATTTCTATTCAAGATCCATTTATATTAGCTATAGTCATTGCATATTGTACTTAATTATTCATCTTTCTATAAACAGTTGCAGCAAAACGTAGCAAAAAGCGAAAATATGTATCTTGCAGAGAATATTATTGTTACAAACTGCAGATCAGACATGAAGACAAATCAATGCTCTTGCATATTGGAAGGCTACTCCAGCAATATGTGGTTGACATGTACGTGAAGATTGAAACATCACGACTTGATTTTTTCAAGAATGATCAGTACCAGAATCGCCTTAGGACAGAGTTATATCAAGGTCTTCTTGATAGCTTATCAGCTGGACAAACCAATGGCTCAAATGTTGGTAAAAGATTCATATTGCCTCGTAGCTTTATTGGTGGTCCACGCGACATGAAGCGTCGTTATTTAGATGCAATGACTTTGGTTCAGCAGTATGGCAAACCAGACATTTTTTTAACAATGACCTGCAACAAAAATTGGCCAGAAATCAAGAACCTTTTATTGCCAAAAGAGAAGACAGAGAATAGACCTGATCTGGTTTCTCGAGTTTCTCGAGCTAAGTTGCAAATGTTAAAGAATGAACTTTTCAAGAAACATATTTTTGGCAAAGTTGCAGCTTACACATATGTTATTGAGTTTCAGAAACGTGGTCTTCCTCATGCACATTTTCTCATCATTCTCAAGCATTGCTCTAAGTTATTGAGTCCTGAAGCATACGATCGCATTGTTTCTGCTGAGCTACCTGATATTCATATACACAAGCATCTGCACTCTTTAGTAGCACAACATATGATGCATGGACCCTGTGGACAAATGAATCCAAACTGTGCTTGTATGCAGAAAAATGAAATTTGCAAAGACAAATATCCAAAACAATTTGCCGAATCAACAAGACATGGTCAGAACTCTTATCCAATCTATCGACGAAGTGATGACAAAAGGACTGTCAAGGTTCGAGGACATCATTTGGATAATCGATGGGTAGTTCCTTACAATGCATATCTTTTGTCCAGATTTGACTGCCACATGAATGTAGAGATATGTTCTACTATACAGGCAGTTAAGTATATTTATAAATACATCTATAAGGGTTATGACAAGATACTATATCAATTCAGCAATGGAGAAGAAAATCAGATGCTTGATGAAATCAAGAACTTTCAATCAGCCAGATGGATTTCAGCGCCAGAAGCTATGTGGAGAATATATAGTTTTGATCTTAATGAAATGCATCCCTCTGTAATGACTCTACCAGTACATCTAGAAAATCAACAGCCAATAACTTTTCCAGATCAACAATCTGTTGATGATGTTATCAAAAATGCACATTTGAAGAAAACTATGCTCACAGAATTCTTTCAGATGAATAAGTATGACCATTTTGCAAAAAATTTGAATTGTCTATATACAGATTTTCCTCAATATTTCGTATGGGATGCTAAGTCAAGATACTGGTCATTGCGACAGCAAAGAGATGTAATTGGAAGAATTGCTGGAGTTCATCCTTCTGAAGGTGAAAGGTACTTTTTAAGACTCTTATTAAAGCATGTTAAAAAGCCAACATCATTCCATGATTTAAAAGTGATTAATGGCAAAATTGCTACATCCTTCAGAGAAGCAGCAGAGTTCTTAGGTTTATTAGAAGCTGATAATAGTGCAGAAATTTGTTTAGCAGAGGCTGTTCTATATCAAATGCCATCTTCACTTCGTCATCTGTTTGCTACAATTTTAGTCTACTGCAATCCTTCAAACTGTCAAGAGTTGTGGCTAAAGTTTAAGGATTTTCTTTCTGAAGATATTGAACAAAATAAAACGGTATCTGGAGAGGTAGTCAATGACACAGTATTGCAGATTATAGACATGCATTTAAGAGCAATGGGAAAACAGATCACACACTATGGTTTTCAGCTATTACCAAATAGACTACTGGAGAATCACATGGACACAAAAGAACTTCAGGCAGAAAAAAATATCATTACTCCTGAAGAAGATTTGCTCTCAGTATATCAATTAAATGAAGAGCAGAAAATTGCCTTTGATAAAGTACTGCACTGTGTCAACAATAACATATCAAAGGCATTTTTCATTGACGGACCAGGAGGAACTGGAAAAACTTACCTCTATAAAGCTCTGCTTGCAACTATAAGATCGCAAGGCTGCATAGCACTTGCTACTGCAACATCAGGTGTAGCAGCATCCATTCTTCCTGGAGGTCGAACTGCACACTCAAGGTTCAAAATTCCCATTAATGATGATCAAAATAAGTACTGCAACATCAGCAAGCAAAGTGTTTTGGCTCAGCTAATCAGAAATGCTAAGCTCATTATATGGGATAAAGCTACTATGGCTAAAAGAAAGTCAGTTGAAGCCCTTAACAAGATGTTACAAGACATAACAAATAACGACCATTTATTTGGTGGAAAAGTCATTGTCTTTGGTGGTGACTTTCGTCAGACTTTACCAGTAATCACACATGGTACCAGAGAAGATATCATAGATACCAGTCTTGTTATGTCACCATTATGGAGCAAATTTGAAAAGATCAGATTAACAATCAATATGAGAGCCAGACTTGATCCAGATTTTTCCACATTCTTGATCAGGATTGGAGATGGAATTCAGCAAACTACTGATCAAGATCAAGTTCAGATACCAGAATCAATCAACATTCCTTTTCAAGATGATGAAACTTCCATAAATGCTCTGATTGATACTGTGTTCCCAAATATGGAGTACATTACTTCAACAACAACATCTATTATCAATCGAGCAATATTGACGACAAGAAATGACTTTGTTCATCAGATCAATCATAAATTGATAATGAAATTTCCAGGAGCAGAAAGAAGCTACTTCAGCAATGATGAACCATTACACTCTTCAGTACAGTTCCAAGATCAAGATCTATTGCATTCTCTTACACCTAATGGCCTCCCTTTACATGAGTTAATACTCAAAAAGAACTGTCCAATGATGCTTCTCAGAAACATCAATCCAAGTGAGGGCCTATCAAATGGTACACGCCTAATCTGTAAGGAATTTTCGAATAACATAATTCAAGCACAGATAGCATTTGGCTCTTTTGCAGGAAAAATTGTTTTCATTCCAAGGATACCATTACAAGCTTCTGATGACGAATTGTCTTCAGTACAGTTCAAGAGAACTCAATTTCTACTACGCTTGTGTTTCGCAATGACCATTAATAAAGCTCAAGGCCAAACACTTGATTATGTTGGACTGTACCTCAGAGAACCAGTTTTTTCTCATGGACAACTTTACGTTGCTTTGTCAAGAGCACGGACAGCTTCTAACATTAAAGTCCTGATACAGCCACCACATGGACAAAGACAAAGCACCAATTTTACACGAAATGTTGTCTATCAGGAAGTGCTTTCAGCAGTAACTAATAGCTAACTCTTACTTGCTCATACTTTCTCTATTATTTTCCTTATGTTTTCTATCATTACTTACCATTTTGGTTCTTTTCCTAAATCTGTTTTAGTCATATATTGATTCTTTCATCAGCTCTTTTTACAGCACTATACCATGCACACTGTATATACTTATCTGTATACATAAATGTTGACTAATCTTGCAGTGAAATAGAAGAGCTGTGTATTCCCATTACTGAAATAGGACAGGAAAATGAAGATTGGGTTGCAAAAGCTATTCTCATTGAGAAAACAGCTCCTCGTATCAGTAAAGATGCAAGCACTACATTCCAGAAATATCTCTTCCTTGACAAAGAGGTAAATTTATTCATATAAAGAGTACATAAGGAAAATGTTCTACAAAATAGAAGTAAAAACTCACTCATTATCTTTTATTCTGTGTTACTGCAAAATACAGAAAAGTACAATCCAAGCTGTCTCATACACAAGAGACATACAACCTCTAGATCAAGCACTTGTCTTGTACTCTACATACTACATTGGCAATGCAAAGGTGGAGCCTATAACAATAGAAAATTTCAGATACTGCACTTCACCATTTCAACTAACCTTGACCGGAGGTACATTCATCAAAGAAGCAGATCAAGAAAACCAGTATCCTATTGATCAGTGCTACAATTTTACACCATTCAAAGACTTCTATAAGTACATGGATACAAATACAAATTCGATAAGTACTACTTCACTTTAATAATTTTCATTACATTGTTACTACAATGACTCTTACATATCAATACTTATAGCTAATGCTCTTGTCTCAGCTCTGCTATGCACTGTCATTGGAGCTCTTCCCCGCCGCTTCATTGCACGACAAAGAGGCGATTGTCCAATTCAAGAATTCATCATCCTAAATCAAGAGTAAGTATAAAAACAATGCAAATTAATAAAGCACAATACAACACAATAGTCGTATTAATCATTCATAACTCATGCAGACAAAAGCCGATGATACTTACAATGTGGCCAGAATTCATTGACATTGAAGCACAACACCTTCTGAGGATCTTAAATCAGTCCCCGACATTGATTATAACAAGAGCCAAAGTGACTTCAGTGCATGGTATGTCAATCTGTCCCTAATTCATATAAACTTACAAAAGTCAAGTATATTATCTACTTTACAAAATATAATACTAATTTTTCAAATAATCATATATCAGTTTTATCTGTCGAGACACAAACAATGAGTGCTATCTTGTTTGATCCACAAATCCCTCAAGCACTAGAACTCAAAAGTTGGTAAGTTGAGAAAGTCAATATTTACTTATTGGTTAGGCACATTATAACCAAAATCTGACACCACCCTATACAATATAACAGGACCAAAGCAAGCAGACCTTATATTGAGCAAGTTTTAGCACAAAAACTTTATGATGCAGCTCATCAAAGAGTCCAACCTCCTCCTGAAGAACATATGCACGACATCAGCTATGCACTAAATACTCCTTATCTGGTACAACTACTGCATCTATCAGTACAAAATACAATATATTCAATAACAAATACTATCACAACAAAATCTAATATTTGATCACATGAAATCTTTTAGCCATTCTGGATCAAAGCCAAAGCAAAGATAGTTCAACCTCAACATCGACTCTATATCCTTACCTGTCCAGCTTCTAATTGCAAAAAACAAACTGGAGCTCAAGCAAATTTCAACTTCTTATGCTGTCATTGCAACATGACATTTGCAAAACCACTGCCAAGGTAAATTCATAAACATATTTACACACTAAAATTCATAACATTCTTCTTATCATAACATAACAAAACCATAATACTTAATGCAGGCTCAAGTTCTTAGTGCAACTGTCTGATAGTACTGGAACAATTACTGCACAAATTGAAGACCAGCATGCTCAGCACATTCTCAACATCTGTGCTGAAGACATACTCTACATGACACTAAAGGTAATTTTGAACATTAATAGCATTACTTTTTATACAATACAAATTTATTCACACTACTCATATACCTAACCAAAGACATACTCATTCATAAACCAATGTCCACAGAACCAAGTTCCAGATATTGCAGACATCAATATGAAGCACCATATGAGCACATTTCGTTTTCAAGTCAGGAAATTCACTCATCCTCTACAAAACACAATTGTAGCAAAGTACAACATCCTGGCTTGTCTACCAATTGCAGATCCTACAGAAACACCCGCACCAGCAACCAATGAAGCCTCATCATCAAACCTACCTGATCAACAAATTGCAACTGAAGATTCAAGCAAAGACACAACCAATCCAGCCATCGCACAAGCTACAGCAACTAAGAAAAGAGATCCACCAGCAACAATCACTGACCAGCCAAAGCACCAAAAAATCGACTAAAATCATGCACCATTCCTATGTTTTGCATCAACTTTTGAGATCAGTTTGGTGGCATAAAGTCACCTATTTTTGCCAATGACCACCTTTTGCTAATGTACATACCAGCTTTTGCTACTTTTGTCTACAGTTCTTGATCAAACCTTCTACACTATAGTGAACAGCTTTTCCTAATGTACGAACTACCAGAATGCAATGTATGCACATATATTATAAACTATTGCCTTCTGTAAATTCACATAAAAGTTCCAAGTTTCGACTTAATTGTCCTCAATCCTTGCCATTTGAAGCTTTAATGCTATGCTGAAGCCTGATATTTTTTTATCTGTTTAATAGTTGCATGAAATAATATACATGATTAAACTCATCTTCATAAACTGTCCTATTTAATGTCCAACTATTTGTATAGTCGAATTTATCTTTTCAATCTTCCATTGATTTCTCAACTATGAGATTGCATCTCCCAGATCATTGCAACTTACAAACTGTAATCTATTAGAAGTAAGTGTCTTGCACACAAATAAATCCTCCAATTTATGAATACTTGCATAGTAAATTACCTGCCAAAACAAGAAAATTCCAAATTAGCTGTCTGCTAATTCCCTCTTCGTATTTGGTTTCCGAATGAATCAGTTCTGTTGAGCCAATAGATGCTATTCAAATACCATCTTAATTATTCTTAGTCATCACGTCCAATACCTTAATGGTCTAGGTTTTAATTATGTATCGTTAAGCAAAATTGTTTTTCCAAAAATTACTACTCCTCAGAAATTTATTTGGATTTTCTCTGATTATTTTACAAGCATCACTAATCGATAAATACTCTTCCACTCTTTATAGCCACAATTTTGTCTTTATTGACGTTCATCTGGGCAACATCATGCATCGCATGATGCCCCAACAAACTAGTAGGAATATAATACAAACTACAGTGTGTAAACGTGACGTAGCAAAATCAGAAACCTCGTGTGCGGTCGGTGGAATCATGACAAAACAAAGGGTGGACCGACGGATGGATCCATAAAAGGGATGGTCAATCTGTTGATGGATACGATTCTGCGGGATTGAGGCCATTTAACTTCCGAAGCCCAACTTAGCTTTGCCACCCGTCGGTCCATTTCTCCATCAATCTTTTTCTTACAGTTAGTTAAACACTTGAACGGCACGACGACGTAGGAAAAGGATGTGCCTGAAAATGCCCTTCCGGAGCGCCAGCTCAGTCTCGGAGCCTGAGACTCAGCCTGAATCGGCGGTGGCGGAACTGGTTAAATCACTGGACCAGCAAAGACTCTACAGAGAAGTCACGCTCGCACTCCGGACCGGACTCAGAGAAGGCCGGGCAGAGTGAGTGAGATGCCTTCGCAGGATCCTCAAATTCCTCCAATGCGTGGCGGAGTCCGACTCCTCCGTCAACCTCTTCTCTGGCATCCAGTCCATATCTGAACTCCAAGATAAAGCCTGATTCTTCATCCTTCCTAATATAATCAGAAGCATGGTTCATGCAAGATCGCTGCATCTGCCTGTTGAAGCATATAAATTTTCCGACATAACATGTTCTCCTGTATTATTTGGTTCCAAATCGATGACTTTACTTGCTGCAAGTTCTGCAACAGTAATATTTCCATGGATAACACAGCCACTGCACCGAGCAAGGCACTCCCAATCACAACGTGCAGCTGGGCTGCATTTGCATTTTTCGAATGACATCATATGCTTCATCTTCCTGCTCATATGCTTAAAAGCATTAAAAAGCAATCTGTGAAAGAAGGCAGCTCCTCCTTTTCCATGACCATGCATGGTGAATGCAGTAGTATGCATCCAATATGAGCGTACGATTAATAACCACATCTAATTACACGTGCGTGGGCCTGCTGGTCTCGCTCAATAGTTGCCAACCTTGAGCAGGCTGGTAAGATGATTCTAACAGTGTAGATGCCACAGGCCTCAACTTCGAGCTTTGCATACCTGAGTTCATTATGGTCATTTTCCATTAAACCGGCTAGGATGCCCGTTCCAAGGGTATGACCATCAACTTCAACATCTTGATTTACTAAATCTCGAAACATAGCAAAAGCCTCAGCAAACGTCAAGTTATTCACATAGCCTGAAATCATCGAGTACCATGATACTTTTTCTTTCCTCTTTCCATCAAGTTCCATCTGATCAAAAAGATCCCCAGCCCTTGAAATTTCCCCCTTCTTAAAATAACTGACGACCATTGTTGTACTATAGGAGATCTCACTTTTCATAGAGAATAAAGAAGAAAATAGAGACATAGCAGTTGCCATATCCCAGCACCTCCTAAACAAATCTACCAACCCATTGACTATAAAAGGGTTATGCATAAGCTCATGTCTCCCGAGAAAGCCGTGAATCTCTTTCCTAGTTCTTATTATTGGCAATCTGGCACAAACGGGAAGAGCACTTGCCAGTGTTTGTGCATCTGGCTCAAACCCTGACACTAACATGCTTTACAGCATCATAACCATCCTGTGAAAGGCCACCAATAATAGCACCCCAAGACACAACACGTGCCTCCAAATTACATTCTGCTTACATTCTATACAAAAACTCCAATGCTTCATGCACCTCTCCATTGACGGTACATGCCATAACAACAGAATTCCAAGAAACGCAATCCCTCTCTTTCATGAGATTAAACACCTTCTTTGCATCACCCAAGCTTCGACGTCTTCCATACATACTATCAATGAATTTGCAACATAAATATTTGACGCGAAGCCATTCTTTATAACAACCCCATGCAGCTGGCCTCCCAATCTCACGCCAGCATAACCAGTGCAAATCCTCAACAACACTAGAAAGTAGAAACACAAAGAACTCTAACTCAACACCCTCCAGCAGCAAATCCTCAAACAATGGAAATGCTTCCTCAGAGAAGCCATCATGTAGATAGATATAGGTCAAGAATAGCAATCCAGGAGTGCAAGTTTCTCTGAGGCATATTCTCAAACAGTTGAACCGCATCGTCAAAACAACAACATCTCGTGGCCTGCGAACCCTTTTTTTTTTTTTTTTTTTACCGCGTTAGCATGGACTTGTTGGCCGAAATTGGAGAAATGGCAAGAGTCTAGCATACAGGCGTAGGTAGCTGTATCAACCGGGCCATCTTGATCCGTAAGGCACCGGCTGAAAGGAAAATGACAAGACAAGAATGGTTGCTGGGTATAATGATGCGAGGGTTTCGATAAATTGGGGGAGAAGGAGAGGTTAGTCGCGGGTTTGCATCCATCCGACTGGGAAGATGGTGGCCAGGCCATGTGTTGTGGAAGAATTAGGTGAGCTGTAGGGCAACAGCGACGACATGTGAGGCCAAGTCATCGGGCATAGGACCCTCTTCCATTACTACCCTAGTAACATCCTATCACCTCTTCCAATCATTCATGGCCCAGACCCAGTGGTGGGTAGAGTTCAGAGCCGACGCTACGAACAAAAGAAAAGCAATTTTATTTCAAGAAAGACAAGATATTTGCTGATTGATTGCAAAAATGAACAGGTTTGCATGGTACAACCCTCCTTTGTCCTAAAGCTTAAGGACCTAAAAATTAACTTCGGATGTAAGCAAATGTTTTTCTCCTAGAGTCAACTTTGGTTGCTTGCTTTAACAAGCATGCTGGTAAGAGAAGTAATAATACAATACAATAATATTGCCTGCTTTTGATCTACTTTTACAGGAGGTGACGGTGGTCAATCATCCCAAACTCGTTTTTCTTCTGTGGGTTGACGGTAATTTCTGCTTACTTCTTACCCACCTTGCTGATCATACGCTTGAGTCGTTAGTTACTAACACACTGGTCATAGGTCAAAATCCTACATTCCTAGGTTTGTGTCTTTGCTTGAAGCTGAATCTAAATTCGGAAGGGATGGAAGAATAATCCCCCAGTGCATCTTATCATATGATATATATTATCCACGCAACACGCATACATATCGAATATCTTTGTACATCACGGATGGATGGATAAGTTGGAAAGATTTTGTGGGTGCGAAACAATTACTAAACAGGCCTAATAATAGTTGTTTTCAAATTAATGAAAAAGTCCCGTATCCACTTTAACATGTGAATTAGAGTGTGGATCCTTAGACATCTATACATGTGAAGCTTTTCTATTAATCTGAACCAGCTACTCTGAAATGACATCAAAATTCTCATCCACCGCTGGTTTGGATTGGAGTCCATGAAAAAAATGCTACAGTATATATATATATATACAGAGTATACACATAGCACGCTAGCTAGGGTGAGGCTGAAATCTAGCTTGAGGATGTTTTGCTTTTTCCCAAATCAACTAATTAGGCGCTGAAATATGCGAACGCTTATTTTTATGTTTTTGAGCCATGCTACTGCATACACAGTATATATAGGAGTAGTAAACAAATGGTCATAGAAATCAATAATACTCCCTCCGTCCCACTTTGTTAGTCTTGTTTTCCTTTTTCGTCCGTCCCAAATTGTAGTCCACTTTCCCATTAAGAAATGTAGTAATCTTTCAAATTGTCTAAAATACCCTTATTAAATATCTTGTTATTAATACATTGTTATTAAATACTAACCCACTACATTGAATACATTGAGTTTTTCCAATACTAATCCATTAGCTGTAACTGATATTAATTGGCACTCTTCGTGATTAGCATAAGGGTATTTTAGGAAATTATTAATCTAAATTTATGTTTCCAACAAAATTAATTACACTTTCTTAATCTGTATGAAAAAAAAATCAAGACTAAGAAAACGGGACGGAGGGAGTAGTAATATAAAGGCTAACCGTACAAAAGTGGCCACCATTTCCCAGAGATAGATAGGACTTAGGAGTTCCGTTCCACGTCCTTGGAGACTGAGCGGAACCGCAGAAAATGTTCCTCCACCAAAACCCAATAAAAAAGAAAATTAAGGTGGCAGTCTGTCTGAAATCTGAATGTATCATCGCCTAAAACAAGAGGAAGTGAAGCTCTTTTTTGGGGGTGTAAAAGCATGTGATTATAAAAGAAAGATTTGGAACGTGGGTGGTCGTCATCCCCAGTTGCGTGCGCCTCTGCCTACGTTATTCTTCTTCGCACTCCAAATCCCACTTAGTGAATGGATGATGGGTACCCTTTGTTTAACGGTTGGAAGATTCTGATGATACAAATCCTCCTACCAACACCTGACAATCTAACCTTAGTTTATATATATATAACAGATGAGAAGAGATAGGCAAAAATAATTAACTACAGAAAAGAAAAGTGAAAACAGAAAGGGC